ACCCTCATTTTTATCAAACCTTACTTTGTTTTCTTTTACACTGCCGGTTATCTCGTCCAGTAAGTTGGTGATTGTAATCGTTGCATGCGACATCAGATAGCGTTGAAAAATCACCGTTTTTAAAACTCTATCAGCATTTTTTTTCCTGGCTGTCAATTTTATTGTAAATGTTTTAAAAATTCTTAGTTATTGACAAGCACGTCGCGTCTTTGACTTGAGAATGAATTCTTAAGTGTAGAATTTATGCAAAACAATATCAACTGCTCGTCTGTCTGAAAAAAAAATTCAAAATAGCTTCAAGGAATTCACGTCAAGATATGTGAAATTGAACGTAAAACCCGGTCGACGCTATTGAGTGTCGTCTGCCACAATACCGCCCAATCACATATGTGAGTCTCCCCATTTCACCCCTACAAAGTAATCGCTCAATGAAAAACTCTAAACTCTTCCTTTACCAGCTATATAGTATACATCCCCTTATGGATTAATCGGCAATCGATGTCGATGATTTCGTCTTAAATAAACTTGTCACCTACCACCCTTGTAACCCGCCCCAGTGTAACTTTGTAGTCAGCCTTCATATTCATTGATTCATTCTACTTTCGACTATGAAATCCCCTCTTCCATCGGACTCTTCAAAACACACAGGAGTTAATTTGCTTTTCATTTTCTATATCTTTATACTGCTATGACAATTTTGGTTTTTCTTTTTTTTTTCTTTTCGCAATTATCATAAGTTGAATTGAGTCTCATTATATTGTAATACATTATCTAGAAATATGGCAGTTGTTCACATGAAGGTATTATTATTATTATTATTATTATTATTATTATATAAGGAAGGAGTATTGGTGAAAGTAAACCCCTGGCTCGGACGTCTGAATGCCGACGAGTTTCAAGAAACCCCCGAAGCGTCTTTATTCTACTCATTGGGAGCCATCATTGCTTGAGGGGGGGGGGCGCTTTTCATGACCGTATTAAATTCAATTCCCTGCGATGGTGTTAAATGTCTTTCAACTGTACAAATAACCTGAGTATTTCACTGTAACTTGAAATAAATTTTTTCAAGATATCTTGAGCATTTTTTTTTGTTTTTTTCCTTTTCCAAAAATAAAAAGTCTATTTTTCGAATTATCTGAGAGTATTTTTTCTTTTAATTTTGATCTATTGTGGAATATTTTGATGAAGGAAGTACAACCAGCTGCTCACCAATTACATTTGAATAATGCCCCACTAGTTCAGCCGACCGGAAGTCTACATGCCAAGCATAAAAAAAAGAAAAAAGAAAAAAGAAAAAAAGTAAAATGAAAAAGAATTGTTTGACTCAATGAGATTCCATTCGCGATATCTACATGTTATTTCATGATGGTTATAGGAGTAAGTTTTGATTTTTGAATGTTACCTCACAAAAAATGGTTAAATGCTTGAAAATGCCAGTGACGCTGCCGAGGACAAAAACCAAAGTCCCTATATTATATTATACATCATAAGAACAACAAAGGCATCGGGCACGCGCGCTCTCGACCTGAGCGCCAAACCTCCTTTTCTTTATTTTCTTCCCTCATGCATTCATGCGTTGATTCTTCTCGCCGAACGGCTTCCTACCTTTTCTTATTGCTCCCCCGCCCTTTCTTGTATATCGGATACCATGCAAATGGCACGCGAAACTTCCGGTATCAAATTCTCAAGCTCACATGGTTTTCATTCTTCTCTGTAGAAAAATAATAAGTCGAGTCGCTTGATGCATACTCCCCATACTCCACTCTATTCGCATATCAGTGCGGCCATGAATGCAATTTGCACAAACGGAAATACGAATTGTACCAGCATGTGCAAGCACATATGTGCTTGTACGCAAATATAGGTAGTGTAATATAGCAAATGCAGTTAGTTATACTCAATTTTTTCATTTCTTTTGTTATATATAGTATTTATACATTTTCCATGGAAGGACTTTGACAATTATATTGTTTTAGGATAATTGTTCTTTTACCCAACATATACAACTTTTTCATCGCCTGCCCTGACACACCAATTGTTTTTCCACTTTTTATCGTGCTCCCCTGCTCCCCTGCTCCCCTGCTCAAAGACTCAATTGTCATTGCCGTCAGGGCGTTATTCTTATAAATGCCATTATTATTTCATTGTGCTGTGCTATATAATATAAAAAACGGAGTGACGCATTACAAGTTTTGTGATTGAACATTTTTTCTATGCGTTATTTAAATATGTTTTTTCACTTTTTTCACTCATCTAATATGCGAGCATATTGGTCATTTTGAAAAATCAATCAAACTATATCTATACAAATAGTGGATTATAGTTTAATTTATTGAGTAACAACATTTTACAAGGGATCGACATGTGAGATGCTCAGTGTCTCTGATGGTTGTTGATCACAATCCTCTCTTCGTCCGTCATTGTTCCATCCCTGACACACTACAGAGCTCTTTCGTCGTCAACTGGCGCGCGAATCCGTTGACGTATAATTAGCATTTGGGGCTTGAGGGTTAGAATATGGCACGAGAAAAGCTCCGACTGAGGATGACAGCCGACACAATTGCGCGCCCCTTTCCTCGTTGCTCTTAAACACGCCAACAACCGGGTAATTGTCATATATAATAGTGCAAGTTTTCATACATCTATTGGAGCCAATAATATCTTTGAAATTTCTATCAACTTATTGATAATATTCATATATCAATATTATAATATAGCAACCAATGCTAGAAAAAGAAAAAGATGAAATTTATGATCGACGGGCATGCAATGTAGCTATATATACATTCTTCTTTTCTGTTTTCAACAGTTGAAATGGAAAATAAAGTTCAATCCTCTCCAAAAACATGTTGAAATAGCTATGAATGGTTTATATATTGTAAAAAAAAGAAATCTTCCACTAATGGCATTGTTCTTATCAACTGTTGGATCTTGCAAGTTATTGCTCTATAGCGTGTAGAAGATAATGTATTGCACACTCGAAATGTAGAAGGTCTATATGCTGGATTGAAAAAAGCAATGACGAAAAGATGTATGAAACAAATGTCCTTTAGAGATTTTTTTTCTACTCATACTTTCGCTGGAGTAAACGTGAAATTAGCTTCTTCAGTTGATACTTCGGTTGATGCTTTTTTAAGCTTAATTCGCATGCTCACGATATTCCTTCAACACTTTCCCATTTAACAAGTTTACAAGTTAACAGAATGAAGAGTGAGAAGCTTTTGACGAAAGGAGTTTTGGAGAAGTGGTGATTGGATTCGACGGACCATTCGTAACTCCATCGGCAAACTTTGTACATTTAGCGCCTCACGCCTTGCCTTTGTTAATTCTCCTATTCCCCATTAGTAGATCATATACACTTGGCAATTCTTATCTCATCCAAACTAAAATAAAAAAATCAAATATTTCTTTGGTTTTGCATTGGAAATTTAGCGTACATTCTCGTCTGATGACTATTTGTAATCTACATGTAAAAATGGTCCCTGAAGAAATACAGCCTGTACATCAAGTAAACAAATTCATTAAAATTGCTCACATAAGGGTCAATTGTATGTGATCAACTCTGCCCCTGACCGCCTGATTTTAATATTCATCGATGGTTTTATTCCTCCTAATTTTCGCCATGTATTTTCGACCTCTCCTATTTGGCCACATTTTTTTTTTACAACTGCGGTGTGCCTTCCTCCCCCTTCCAACCCCCTGGTACACGGAGACACTATTGTTGGGTGGCATTTAGACGACAGTTGCTGCCCCGCCATCGTGTTATATTCTATGGAGCCACAGGGGCGTTTCAGTAAGCTCCCGACGTTCGTTTCCGTGGCTTGTTTCACTGCGGGGAATCGTCCGTTGCGCAGTTCCCCTTCAGATTGTATCAAACCTAGTATATACACTCGTGAACAATCAAAAGTTACTCTTGGAAAAGGGGCGGAGCTCTACTTTTGAGTCTATTATATCTCTTGCTATTTGAGAGAGAGAGAGAGAGAGAGAGATTTTTTTTCTTCAAATTTTACTCGACAGTTTGATTTGTCAAATGGATTTTCTCAAATATCTGTTATATTACCCATAGTCAGTGAATAAGTAGTCGAGTATGAGGTGGCATATATACATGAATAGGTAGAAATGTAGAGAGCCTCAAGTTCTCCATTGAAATTCAACCGTCATTCCAAGTCTACACCGAGCGTCGTTTTCAACTAGTGCAAACATTCTCGACTTCCATATAAATTCCCCTCTAACGTCGACCAATCAGAGCTATCTCAATGTAGCAATCCTTACAATTCTGACTGACCACTTGGCATTTCATTCAGTGACGTGCATTTTGTGCCATTTTAAAAGTTGTTGTAAAAGAAGGAAAAAAATTCAATAGTAACAGAGGAAGAAAAAAATGATGATAAAGTGGAACTATAACTAAAGTTGAAGGATCATAGTAAATCCATTTGTAATATTTTAGGACAGAGGGTAAATTTTTGAATTTACCTTTGGTGAAATTACTGTGTTGCAGTGGATGAAAGAGAGGAGGATTTCTGGGCAAATCGTGGCAAATGTAAATACCACGTTGGTCGGATTGAGTAGAACCAATAGTGGGCGGTGGCGCGCACGAGGGAGGGTCATACTCAGAGTCAGCCCCTGAGTAAATCCCTTGGATCCTCCTACAGCTTTTCTCTCTTTCTTTCTCTCTCTCTCTCTCTCTCTCTCTCCCTCTCCCTCACGCTGTCTCGCTTTACCAAATCTATTCTCCCTATCTACTGCAACGTCTGATCCTCACCTGAACGAATAAACTAATGGTTGTTGGTGATGAAAAAAAAATCACATACATATAGCATAGACTTTTCATACACATAATTATCGTGATAACAACTCGAGATAAATGGAAAAAAGTTGATTCACTAATCAAATGGGGTAAATTATTATTATAGATGATAATTATCATGTTATGATAAGTTATGATGTCATTGTTTTGTATTTTATTTTTTTTATGCTTACAGATACTTGAAGTGTAAACGATGCAACCATTGGAGCGTTCAAGTAACAGCGCAATGACAATGACAATGACAACCGATACAATTCCAACGAACCTTCCCCCACCAACAGAGGACTCAAGCAATTCGACAAGTTCACCCACATCATCATGTAGAAATTTATCAACACTAACCTTCTCAATAGCAAAAATAATGGAGCCCGATAAACGACTACTGACATCATCCGATACGTCTAGTATTAGTCTACGTCAGCCGTCAGCCAATATCCAATCGCTGTCTTACTCGGCGCACTTGGAATCAGCATTTAAAAAATATGTTCCTACTCTAAGGCACCAGAGTCTCCTTCAGCACTACCCCCTACTATATTACCATCCAAACCCTTTACTCCGAGTTTTTCCACCAAGTGGAACAGTTCCAATAAGTAATAATCCAATACAAAATACAGTGGAACATTTATCATCAACATCACCATTATCACAAGCACCACCATCACATCCTGCCGGCCGTTTGGAAGTAGCACCAGCAGCAGCTAATAGTGAAAAAAAATCACCAGTGCCAGTGCAATTACCCCTCTCAGTATCAGTAGCGTCAAGTAGCGTTCCATCGTCTGCAAATTCACCCCCCCAAATTGGCCAGCAGCTATCAACGAGTAGAGAAATAAATCCAAACAAGCAGAAAACATTCGCCTGCCCTGAGTGTGGTAAAGTATTCAATGCTCACTACAATTTAACGCGTCATATGCCAGTGCACACTGGTGCACGTCCATTCGTCTGCAAGATATGTGGCAAGGGTTTTCGTCAAGCTAGCACACTGTGCCGTCATAAAATCATTCATACAGCCGAAAAACCACACAAATGTCAAACATGTGGTAAAGCATTTAATCGCAGTTCAACATTAAATACTCATACACGTATCCATGCCAATTATAAGCCATTTGTTTGTGAATTTTGTGGTAAGGGTTTCCATCAGAAAGGCAACTACAAGAATCATAAGCTCACCCATAGTGGAGAGAAAGCTTACAAATGTAATATATGCAATAAAGCTTTTCATCAAATTTACAATCTTACATTTCACATGCATACACATAATGATAAAAAGCCATTTTCCTGTAAAATATGTGGCAAGGGATTTTGTAGAAATTTTGATCTTAAAAAACACATGCGCAAGCTCCATGACAGCAGTTCACCAGTGTTAAATAGTTCTAATATTGGAGGATCCACTGGGCAATCCCATATCGAAACTACTACATTTTCAGCGATTCATCACAGTGGAACGAGTCATGCCTTTGTCAGTCCATTTTTATTACCCCCACCTGGATCACATCAGAGTTACCTTACCAAGATGTTGTGACAGAGTGACACTAATAGAAAGAGCCATCATCAGTGTCCGCTCTTTCTCGGTGCTATGACTTACTCCAGTGATGTTGGACATTTGGCAGATGTATTAAAGTGAAGGTGATTATATACTATACAGTATATACAGTATACTATAGTATAGTGCAGCGCGGTACTTTGTTGCTTATGCAATATTCAACTGAAATTGTTGTTTTTTTCTTTTTCATCTTCTTCTTCTTCTTCTTGTTTCTCTTTCTTCAATGAGGTGCAATCATGACTGATTAAAAATTCTGATTGTAAATAAACTTTGTAAATATAATACTTTTAAGTGTATAGCAGAGAAAGATGAAAAATTATGCGCCGGCAATATTATAGATATAAAAAAAAGGAAATTATGATTTTTTTTTCATGTAAATCAAGCTGTTTCATATATAATGAAAAATTCACAATAGACATCACTGGCGAACGATTAACATAATTGTAATTCGAATGATACAATGGATAATGTACGAATTGGTGTGATAGTAGTTTGTAAGGATACTTTTAGAATTAACCATCGATATGAAATATGATGTTAACAGATATTAACTGCAACAAAAATCATCGTCAAAATGAAAAAATTACAAATATCTTTTATTTCGGTTTGGTATTCGATTTCGCATATTCTACACTGTGAAAAGAATTCATGTCAGGCATTTCATAATTGATTCTTATATGCATAAAAGCCTTTAAATTGCTTTTTCAGTCAAGGAGTCACTCACAAATCCCATATACATACAATCGTTTATTGTGTTTAATGGACGATTAAATGACAGAGAATATGCATTTAAAGAAATTGTATATCTAGATGAAAAAAAAAAAAAGAAAAAGAAAAAGAAAAAAAGGATGGTAGCTACAAAAAAATGCATATTACATGTGTACGTGTCTCTCATTGTAAATAATAAACCTCATCCAAAGCAAAGCAATAAATTAATCGAGTACAAAATGAAAGCTTCATTTATTTCATCAAACCATAAATTATTTCTAAACTATAAGGGAATCTCTATCTGATGAGATGGTGCAAATAAGAAAATTTTCAAGAAGCTCACTTAAATAAAAGCCCTCTTGCTTCCTTGAATGAAGATTATATATCTCATGCAAAAAGCAGGGCATCAGCGTGCAAGAGTGACACTAAAGTGTCAAGCATCATCCAACATTAGTATATAAAGATGAAATCTTTGAGTTTAGAGTAATAGAGGGGGCACGGGGTGTATAGAAACATGTATAGATAGGAACTGATAGTGAAGGAGGGCAATGGCATACGGTGCCGACGTGCTTTCGTACTGATGATTCGCACAGATACACAGCGATCCGATCCGATCCCTTCCCATCCCATCCCACACCCATACCACTCGTACTCGATATATATATATATATATCTGGGGTAGGTATCTGTCCTCCATCCATTAAATGCGATCTCTCGCCCAGACTACCGCACTCAGTGCCTGATGCCGGTTACCACCCCTACCTTTTTCACTTTTCACATACCCTCTACTCATACAAGCCAACCAGCACGCGCGTTATCAATCTTAGCGCTCGTTATAAAGACAGGTACTTCATACTTTCAAACCTATCAAATACTTCATATTTATTATTCAAAATGAATAATTAATTTTTTTAACACATATATACGTGTTACACCTGAGCTTCGTTTCTCTTTGTCGGCAATTGGTTTTTTTATTTATTTTTTATTTTTTGAACATCCGAACAAACGAGGAGAATAATAGAAATTGAAAGAAAAATGGAAAATACATATATTAGTTGCATGATGCCTCCTGTTTGGTATATTTCCATGGGGTGATACACTGCGTGTATCAACGCTTTCCCTTATTATTAGTGCCAATATAATTGGTTAAAACCCGTGAATAATGAGCGAACTGCACGTTATTATGCTCCAGAACCCTTCAGGTTTTGCCAAAAGAGCTTTATAGAACACGGTTCAACACCTCTTCATTACCCTCTTCAACCCTGCCGCACATATATACACCATCCGCCCGCACGCCCACGTTTCAACTGCGTTCCGGTCTCTTCCTCGATTACACTGTCATTGTGCGTTATTACAATCTCTTCCCCCTTCCCCCAACGGTGTATTGTGTGTATCCAGATTTATAGAGATCGCCCCCTCCTTCTTCACTCTATTAAATTCCTCCCAATCGTATCAACTCATCCGTAAAGTTTTTTAAAGCTCGAATCCTTTTTTTTTCTCTGCTCTTATTATAATATTATACACGGTTAGGAGAGACATACTATCTTAATGTGACATAAATACGTTGAAATTAATAAATGAACTCAATTCCAAAGAAATTAGCTCCTGCTGTTGAAAACATTATATTTGAGATGCAAAAAATTTTAATGATGCCTTATATGAGAGATCACCCTATTATACTGTACTATACATCAGAGGTGTCCAAACATACAAAAACATCCACACCCGAGTGACCATAGCTAAACAGGATCGCCAGCTCACAGTTTCCATTGAAAAATCCCCTGGTATTACGGCAGAGAGTTTTTTTTTCCAACAAAGTGTCAAAGAAGGGGATATAAAGTCTGTTCTTGGTGTAAGGGGGCATACATTTTCGAATCTGTTTAATCTTGGTCCGTGGCGCATAAGTGAAAGCTATCTCCGTTGAATGTGAATTCAAACAAAGGTACAAACAAACTCGGGAGTCAAAGTTTTCACCGTAGTCTGAGTGTTAGAGTGGGCATACTGTGATTCCTCTGTGAGAAAAGTGGTGGAGGACAGAGTGGGAAAAGAAACACCCGCTGCAAGTGTAAGAGTTGAGTGCTTTTGATGCGATGCCGACATTACCACACTGAATCGCACTATGTGATGTCGAAGTACAGCGACATACCGTATGAAACCTCTTTACCTTCGATTTTTTTTTCTTTTTTTCATCACTTCTTTTCACACACTGAAAAACCCATTGTAATATCTCCACGGCCATAATCTAATTATCATCGAGACGTACCTCAACACACATTATGACACTATAATCATGACCATATATCAATAGAAATTTACCTCAGTTTGCACGATCTTAGATTATAGGTTTGCCGATTGGAAAGTGGAAATGAGCTCAAAAAAAGTCGGATGATGAAAAAATGGTAAATCTATGGAAAATGAGAGAGCGAGAAAAAAAATGTATGGCAATGGATGAAGAAAATATATATAGGCCTACACTCAATTCGATAATTCGAGCGAACAGCCGGGCATTTATTATATACATGTGTATACCCACAATTTTCTTACGCTCAAGTGATTTTTCCTCATAAAAAAAAGATGTTAGAAAATGGTAGAGATAATGCATTGCTATTTCATTCTTCATTGACAAGAAGAAAACAGGAAAAGCAGAATTATTGTGGGGAAATTAGAGGCAAGTTAGTAAGTTAGGTTTGTAAAAATAAAATACGTGTAAAGGTACTCATGAGAGGCCTAATATCGTTTGTGAAATGTTGAGGTTGAAAGGATGCCGACAAATAGCCGGCTGCTGGGGATTACAGGGAGAAACGATCTGTAAAAAGGCACAACAATGAGGCGTCCGGTGATAGAAAACGACGTGAGCGACACCATTCAGCAAAACGGTCGTTTTTTTTCCCTTCTGAACGAATACTATATGCTACACTTTTGAGATTATTATAAAATTGGTGTAAGGATCATTTCACTAATTCCCCTAAAAACCAAATAATACCCTATTATAGAACATCAATTTTTTAACTTGTGACGAATACATTCATATATAATGATCTAAAACACCTCAACTGATTCATCTTTCACATTAATTTCGAAAAAATAAATTTTTTTTTTAGAACATTAAATAGGCAACTAATTACAGCAAAACAAGAACAAACTGAATAATGAGGTCTATTTAGTTTGTGTGTGTGTGTGTGTGTGATATTGAGTTTGAACAAATTGATGCAATTTTTTTTTCTCCCAAATCCACTTTTGAATTGGGGTGAGAACATACCGGGAAATCCCCAGTGTCACTCTCAGGCACCACTAAATACCGATCGACACGCGAAGCGTTAGCTTTCCCCTTTCAAAGCCGGGTTTATAACCGAGGCCTTGTTTGGTCCCCATTAAATTAAATCGGCCCCCCAACACTTGTCAGCGCATCGTTTGTCCTATTCTACACCGCACAGTTAAGACATCACTTGGATTTACGATCTTGAGATGTCATAAGACGAGCAGATAATTTAGTTCTTAATGTCATTTCAATCAATTCTCGGTTCTTTATCATAAATATCTTCAAATGACTGTGAGTTTTTATTTTTTATTCTTCAGTCAGAAAATACCCAAGAAAAATGTGAAAAAAAAACAACGAGGATGAAAAAAATAAAACATTATTCATAATAATAAAAATAATAATGAAAATGCATCACATGTGGGTGGACAGGTTAAACGTGGAGGAATAAAGTAAAAGGGGGAGGGGGATGTTGACTCGTTGAAACGCTTAGTGAGATTGCAGTCGACAATACAACAATACAACGTGCGTGACACACCCGACGGTGCTCAAGGGGGGAGGTGGGGGGACTCACTCTTGCTTCTGGAGAGTGAAAATCTCGCCAATTCCAGGGTCGGTTGCCACACCCTATATCTAGCTCCCTGCGAGAGCGTACTCAGTGGGCTTTAATTCAGAGTCCATGTGACAGCGAGACTTCATGAAAAACACGGCGGAAGGAAGAAATAAAGCCTCGTCGGTCGGTGCTACTGCGGCAACCGCATGCATGCGATATGTCGTATATACGTTTGACGCGAGACTACTCATCAACTGACCAAGTTGTGTAACATATTATTAATGTAAAAAAATGTAGCAAAATTATTTTATTCATCTCATGTTTCAGCGAAAAAAAAAAACATTCAATTGAAATGCATCAACATTTTATGTCCATAGAAGAGCTTTATTTTTTCTATTCGATTAACTCATGCGTAAATAATCATTCAACTTGAAATCTCCACAGTCCACACAGAGGACTCTTTTGTAATTTTTTTTTCCAGCATCCCTATAGGGTCCAAGTGGACAATCATTCACATCCGGATTGCGCTCTCTATAATCGACAATGCCAATGAGGGATTATTCTGTTTACAGTTTCCCTTTTTTTCGCTCTCCTAAAAAATTGGAGAATAAGAACGAGAGTACATCTATGTAACAATCTACATGCTGGAAATTATATCGATAACAATAATATGTAATACGCAAGCGTGCAAAAATGCAATTCAATGTGAGAAGGAAATATTAAAATAATACACAATGTTCAAAGTGGGGAAACTTATATAAATCGAGTAGGTGTTATCGAAATTGAATGTTTACATCAAGGGGAAGGTAAATGGGTAAGGGTGAAGGATCACAACCCCGGCAACATATGTATAAACGGCTAAGCCCAGCTTAGGTTTTGCTACTGGGAATAAAAAGTTGAAGAATCGAGTGAGTGGATATATTGGGGTCGACCGTCATCTATAGTTAAGAGTGACGATGATGAAGGATGACAGCTACAGTTAGAGCGGCACGGCTGTATGTCTGTGCTCTAAAAACACACTTTGCACAACAACAAAATCTCCATTAGGTATTGTTTCGATATATTTAATTTCTATAAAATAAGTATACGATCATTTTATAAAAAAAAAAAAAAAAAAAACTCAGTTTAAAGAGTAAATTTACCAATTTTACATTATTGTTCTTTTATCTTATAAATTGCCTTTATTACGAAATGAACCATTCCCCCGCCCTCACTCATCCAATTGAGTTTTTCCACTCGATTAACGAAAAAATGTTGAGATATATTACGACGGGAGTATATTATAAGAAAGGATGGGTTACGAAATTTGAATTCTCCAGCCGAATTCATTCATTATTTTTCAATGAGTAGGACTTGACAAAAAAATTAATAATGCCATAATTTTGCACTATACATTATACACAGTCTAGAGGATGCAGCATTGTGATTATATAATGAAATATATGTCTTATTTACCAACATATTTCTCAAATAGTTTTTAGGCAATGTCTATTCACACGCTCCACGGTTACTTTGACCGTGCGGATATATGTATACGGGACGTGTCCCGTGGATATATGGGAGATGGTGGCGGACCCTCAACTTTTACTTCTCAAATTAACGCTAGTTACTGATGGGTCGATAATCGACTAAACATTGGCAACAAGCCATTATTGACTATACTCAATGGATATATTCGGAAATATTGCGGTTAAAGAGTATTTCAGTAGTTGAGAAAATTGTATAAGCAGCAAAAGAGAAAGAATAAAGGCAACAAGAGAGTTATCCGAACAAAAGGCTTGAGTCCAGTGAAATCCATGACGAGTAAGTAGCTAGTATTTTTTTTTTCTCTGATGGAGAGTGGGAGACAAATTGGTTGGGGATTTACGTTCTACCCTTAATCCTTATAAGCCCTTGGCTTTACTCGGGTATTATCGTAAATGCATTTAAGAATAAGAGCGGTTGAATAAAAATTTTCCTGTTCAGACGTAAAAATTTTCCAAGTTTGGATGACATTCACTTGTCAAATGCAAAACATTGAAAAGAAAATCTCCTTTCTCATTTGTTCTTAACAATTGATATATAGTTTCAATGATCTTATCGGTTAAAATGAAAAATAAATTTGGTCAACAAATGACAAGAGTATTATAGAAATGCTTGCTTATTAATAATAATATAATACACAAGTGCCGAGATGGATGAAAGGATGAAGAAATAGAAGAGAATTTGAGGAGGTGGGCCATCGAGGTTGGTTGGACTAAATAAAGGGGATGAACGGCGGATGAGGGGGAAGGGAATGTAGTTCGCCCGGGAGCAGCTAGGCAAGCGTAAAACTTGTGTGCCGAAAGGCAAACATTGACATATGCTCACATAAAACCTCAACGCCCGGAAACCATGATTTCGATTCGATTCACTTCATTCGCGCCAATATCCACGCACAATTATATGCAACGCCGCACTCATTAGATCTAATCATCATCATTTAATGCGCCAAGCGCCATTATACCAAATATCTCATCATCATACTCTCCAGTATGTAGTAGCACTCAGCATTTACATTAGGAAAAGGACTTGGGAGTGAAAGAACCAAGTCTTTGCATGCGACCAACGTAACAAATACATCAGCATTCGTCCGCTAATATGGTTTTCCATGCAATCGTTAGTTGAGGTCCTATTATCTCATCGACTACTCACTCTAGTGCATTCCCCTGGGCAAGAGAGTAGAGCTTTCGTCGCTCATGTACCCGTTCAGGGCTGCGACGCCGCCGTCGTTTGTTCGCGCCACACAGCCTCCATTTTAAGCCATGTTGGCTGAGCGCGGCCCGCAAGGGACTCTCACTCTCGTCTCCCACCCCCCTTTTTCATCTTGAAAACTCAAACCAACTCTCCCCCGGGATACGATGCCTTTCGTGGAGCGCTCAGTATGTTGAATGTCGCCGAAAAAAAAAACAAACAAAAAAGAAAGAACTGGTAGAGAACGGTGCGCGGTGGTGGTGGAGGGGGGGAGATGAATGAAGAAATATAGATAAAGGGATGGGAAAGCAGAAAAAATAAAAAGAAAACGCTGCTTCATTCGCCCATTCCCGGCTTAATCGTCCAGGAAATGTGTGAAAAGGATGTAAAAATAAGAGAACAAACGTATACTGAAAGTGAGTTGAAACTGATGAAAGAAAGAAAAAGGTTAATTATCTCTGAAATAATTTTATATAAATAATTTAAAAACAAAGTTAAGGCGATTGACAATAAGAAGTATATAGCGTATAGTGGTAATAGGATAAATCACGTATATATGAAACCATAAAACAGGAAAGGTTCTATTCCTCGCCGGAAGCACCGCCGCCTCGACAATTTGATAAAAAGTAATGAGCTAATAATGGGATTTTGGGAATGATGGAAAAATAAATCCATTTTTACATCGTGCGATGCGTATTAGCTGTATAGAAAGCGACTATCGAGGGGTGGATTAACTGACGATTGCGGTCGTGCTGGGGACAACAGCACTACATGAGCGTGAAGGAAATACTCAATTGGGGAAAGACAATGAAAAGCTTCACGAACAATAGGGGTCGACTATTGTTAATTGTGCATGTGTCAGCATTATATCGCGTTATAACGAGTAATCAATCGTTCGGTCAATTAATAATACACCTATTATCAATAGCCTTAGTTAATGATTGAATTTGTTCATGTTCACTCTTCAAATTGTCTTATATTGTAATAAAGTATAAAGCCACCGCCACGATGCTATAATAAAACATATATCAATTGAGAAATCAAAAAACAAGATAGATTATTATAGTATACCTAAACAAATGAGGGGATTGTTTGTAGAGACATCGTTTTACGCATGACCCTGTGGGTTCTTTATATTCTTTTCTCAATTCAAGTTGATACCACTTGAACGAGCTGGAGTATAAACGAATGCGGGAGAGCCAAAGCGAGAAGGATAGTAATAAGGACTGGAGGGGTTGGGGTGTAAGAACTGTATTCGTATGGGTCACCCCGAGGGACTTTGATCTGTGCCGATCCCGGAACTTCCATCCTGTATTATTCGCTGCTTCAGCCACCCCCGACCTATTACCTACCACTCTTCCTGTTGGCGCCCACTTCTCGCTCGCTTTTGCGCTCCTCCCGAGATTCAAAACCTCATCCAGAAAAAGGAAGACGCTTGTTTGTCTCTAATTACTCTGCTTTCTTTCTTTCTTTCTTCCTTCGATTTTTCAAAATTAATTCCGGACATATTATGACAATATAATCACTCAATCAATGTTTCCTGTCCTGGATAAAAAAAAGCCCATGGAATTTGTAAATTTAATTTATTAATTTGTTTTCCATTGTCGTAATATGACAGTAAGTATTGAAAAAAATAAAACAAGCCGATTCAAGCCAGAAGAGAGGTGCATAAAAAAGTACGACTGCTGATGGATACAGAGAGGGGTCCTGAGAACCTGCAAACGTTGAGCCTTTTGATCAACGCAACAGCGTTGATGCTTGACTTAAACGCATGTATTCAGATGCCTCATGAATATGAAAAACTGCATCTCTATGCTCAACTGCATGTGATTGTTCTCCTCTTTAGGGAAAAATGAAAATATTTTCGGTTGGTATATATATGAAGAAATGTCAGAAGGGTAAAAAATTGTAAATCAGAAAGTATAAACTCACCTTGGTTGATTTCCAAAGGTGCGCTTCCTTTTATTTACCTCCTAATGCCTTCTCGCAATATTGAGGCGGCTGCTGTTTTATCGACTGAATGACTATTATTCCTACTGTTGGATATTAGAACCTACAGATAGTTGGGCAGTTATTTTATGATAATCAATTGCCATGTGTCTATTAATTTGTCAATTTATATTATGATGGCGGTATACTTGAAATTCCAATTGGTTATAAATTTAATCCATATAATTTTGCCATTCTCGATAGTGCTGCTTCAATGCATTTGTGGTTGAGTGATAATATATAGGTATATATATATATATTATATAAATGAATAAAAAGTGTAGACCGCTTATCCGATGCATTATATGCACACAAGATGGTGATAAATATAATTAAATTCATGATAATATGTACAAGCTTACTAAAGTGTAGTGTAGTACTATATATATAATTTTTGTTTTCATTAATTTCAGGTCAAGAAGAAACTCCAAGTTTTGTTACCAATAACAAATGAAGTGGAAGAATATATTCAGTTCACTAAAAATAGATGGAATACTACTAGTGGAATAATATCACGAGTCATCGCTCTCTGTATTTGTTGCCTGATAATGGCAACATTGTCTGTATTAGTAATTCTATTAGAATGCCATGTCTTGCTAAATGAGGCCGGTCGTAATGAACAAATTATTAAAAAAATTGAGGAAAATTTGGAATCAAATGAAGGAGAAAAGTGTTTGAAAGTATCACGAAACATGCGTTTTGACTGTCATCCAGAGAATGGTGCATCAGAATTATCTTGCATGGCACGAGGTTGTTGTTGGGATGCATTTAGCTCTCAACATAACGAAATATATAAAGAAATACCTCTAGGAGTGCCTTATTGCTTCTATCCTCCAGATTGGCATTTATATGAATACGAGAGAATAAATGAGACAAAGGATGGATTTGAAGGATCACTAAGAAACATTGCTCCATCTTTTTACAAAAAAGATATCTCAGTTATTAGATTAAAAACAAGTGAAATTGGCACAAATATTTTGAGGGTAAAGATGGATGATGCTAATAATTCAAGATATGAGCCAGTGTGGCCAATTCGAAATACTCTTCCCAATAAGTTTTCAAGTGATTCAGATTATGAATTTCACGTAAATAAATTGAAACCCGGTTTCCAAGTTGTAAGAAAATCAACAGGAGTTGTATTATTTGATTCTCTCTTTGCTGGTGGTTTTATATTTTCGGATCAGTTTCTCCAGATTAGCACTTTGCTACCATCGCACAACATTTATGGTCTTGGAGAGCATCGAACTTCTTTGAAATTGAATACAAATTGGCAGACATTTACATTATTCAATAAGGATCAGCCGCCCACCGAGCATGCTAATTTATACGGTTCACATCCTTTCTATATGATTGTCGAAGAGTCTGGAGCCTGTCATGGCGTACTTTTTCTCAATAGTAACGCTATGGATATTATTCTCCAACCAACTCCTGGATTAACATTCAGAAGTATTGGGGGTATTTTTGATATATATTTTTTTATCGGGCCAAATCCATATGATGTACTTGATCAATATTCAAGTATCGTAGGAAAACCATTCATGCCACCATATTGGTCTCTCGGATTTCATCTCTGCAGGTAAATCAATTTCAATTTCATTCCCCGAACACTTGACGCATTGCAATTTTCCATAAAGTCATTGAATTACTAATATTTCAGATTAGGATATGGATCATTGGAAAAAACGCGACAAGTATGGAACAGAACGCGAGCAGCTGGCATTCCATTCGTAAGTTTATGACCAAAGGAAATTACATATTCAATATTAAATATTAAATACTTGAGAAAACTTTTTCATCAAATAGGATACACAATGGAATGATCTCGATTATATGAAAAATAGTAATGATTTTACATACGATATAAATAAATTCAAAGGCCTGCCGCAATTCGTCGAAGAAATTCATACGGTATGTTAAATACGATAATTTCATTTTATTTTTTTAATATATTATTGACAAGGTAAATAATTCAGATGGGAATGCACTATATTCCACTCATTGATGCTGGAATATCAGCGTCAGAAGCTAATGGCACATATCCTCCATATGATGAAGGACTCCGCCGAGATATTTTTATCAAAGATTTTCACACAAATGTCCCATTTGCCGGAAAAGTATGGAATCGTGTATCTACTGTGTGGCCTGACTTCACTCATCCACAAATTGATGAATACTGGTATACCATGATGAATAATATGCATAAAGAATTTCAGTACGATGGAGCCTGGATTGTATGTAAAAAATTATTGCTGACATTATTATTGCTGATTCTCCTAAACAAATACATTTATGTTATAGGATATGAATGAACCGTCAAATTTTTATAATGGCCATATGAATGGTTGTGTAAAAAATGTTTTTGATAACCCACCATACCAACCCAATGTAGTTGGAAACTTGCTAGCTACCAAAACTTTATGTATGAATGCACAACATGCTAGAGGGCTTCATTATGATATTCATAATACTTATGGCATGGCAGAAGCTGTAGCATCATACAAGTAAATATATATAATTCTCTTTCTTTTTTATTAATTTATTTATTCATTAATTTTATCAACTCTTGATATAGAGCAATTATTAAAATTCGACAAAAACGTCCGTTTATTGTATCTCGTGCTACTTGGATTGGTCATGGCCATTACTCCGCCCATTGGACCGGAGATGTATATTCAAGTTGGTAATATATTTATTTATTTATTCATTTTTTTTTTCGTCTCCTTTTTTCATAAGCAATTTTTCAGGCATGATCTTCGAATGAGCATACCAGAAATTCTGCAATTCAGTCTCTTACAAATACCGATGATTGGCGCCGACATATGTGGTTTTGATGGAAATACCACAGTAGAATTGTGTAACCGATGGATGCAAGTCGGTGCATTTTATCCCTTTTCACGTAATCACAATTCAGATGATACAATTGTGAGTAAATTATTTATTTTAATTATACAAAAAAAAATTTCCTTTCAATACATATAGTCTTTGTTTCTACCAAGTATAGGAGCAAGATCCAGTGGCACTGGGTGCTTTGGTTGTAAGATCGTCGAAAAAAGCATTGATGATAAAATATAGACTGTTGCCTTATCTTTATACATTATTTTTTAAAGCTCATTCCTTCGGATCGCCTGTCATAAGTCCCTTATTTTTTTCGTAAGTTTCTTTAACATTCTGCTCGATAACCAAATAAAGCATTTCTTTACCTTTCACCGTTGCACTCGACAGATTTTGGGAGGACAAGAATACACTGGATATAGATAGTCAATTTTTATGGGGCGACGGATTAATGATTGTGCCAGTTCTCGAGGAAGTAAGGATTTTGTTAAAAATAATTTGCGTGACATTGTACAACTCGTTTTCTCATTATTATTATTATCATTATTTCTATAGGGGAAAATACAAGTGCAGGCATACCTACCAAAAGGCATTTGGTACAATTATTACAATAATACTGGCACCGTCTCCAATGGACAATGGTTCCTTGTAGATGCTCCTTTGGATACTATCCCCCTATTTATTCGTGATGGAGTCATCATACCAGCTCAAACTCCCGGTCAAACAACTACCCAAAGCCGAAAAAATAAATTTCAATTAATTATTACAATTGCTCAGCAGTTGAAAAAAAAATCTTCTGGTTCATTATATTGGGATGACGGTGATAGCTTAGATTCTGTGGAAACTCATAATTACCTTTATCAAGATTTTGAGGTTGTTGATGGTAACAAGTTGAAAAATGTATGGTCAACAAATTTTGGCCCATTTAATATTAAAGAAGCAATGATTCTAGGAGAAATTGAAGTTATGGGATTAGTCCATGATGTTACACGTGTTGTTGTTAATGGAGAGCCAATTGTTACATTTACTTACGATAAATCTCGAAAATATTTAATTATAAAGAACTTGCAGATTGATCTGACCAAAAAATTTGAAATCACTTGGTAGGAATATATTCACGTACTAATTTATATAAGTAAGTTTTCAATGTTTGTTTCCCCTACCTACTGCCTATGAACACATCCTCAAAGGTCAGAAGAAATGAAAATTCCATTCAATTTTCTCACAAATTACATTTTATTACACACTACATTCTCAATATTCATGGCACCGTAGAAGAAGCAGTAATAATTAATAAACATTTTCTTTTTCTCTATTAATGGCTATCATATATATATATATATATATATATATATATATTTCAACTCAAAAGCCTTATAGTTTTTATCTTTGGCGTGAAAACTGAAAAAAAGCAAGTAGCAAGTTTTCGTCATACTCAAGTCCAATATTAACCTGAATGACCTCGATCTTTATTCAATATACAACCACCGTTTCATTTACATGAGACCTTTTCTTGTCGTGTGGATTTTGAACAGAAGCATTGTTGTTGGTATATTCTTTTTCATCTCCACTAAATATGTGAATAATTCGTTGTAATAATATAGCCATCTGACAATAACTATAGGATAATATTAATTTTCAGATTATGCAGTTTATACAATGCTAGAAATTTCAACTGACTCAAATGAACAAACAAACAATTAGTTTATAGTAATAATAAAATTGTGATTATTGTCTGGTCACATTATTTTATCGCTATCTAATCATCTTCATGTGGTTGTTAAGCAACAAATTTTCATCATTCATTCATCTCATTGAGGAATTTCTTATATAAATTATATATTGTAATAACAATACTATTAAAGTAATGAAACAAAATTTCCAGGCTTCTAACGTTTTTTTTGTTTTTTCATTTTTAATAATCTTCTACCTAGTCACTCTTTTTTCATTTAGTATAGAGATACAATGATCAGGAACAAAAAGGCAAGTAATTTTACCAATTAAAAGTATGGCAATATTGAACATTTTCCCTGTCATAATCATAAATATATAATCATGCATCCATCTGAATCACAACAAGAACAACTGATTCAACATGACTAAAGAATGATGGTAAACAATTTGGTAGTACAAGTCTTTGGTTATAAAATAAATATTAATCCCACTTGATTGAATCAACAGTCTATGTCGTAGTGAGTGTTTCCAGTATTTCTTCTGGGCTCTTATTCATCTTTTTAAATGTTTCCCAGTGCTCTTTGGGTACAGTCCATTTGAGAAATGTCTCAAGATTTTTTTGTAATGCTTGGAATTCATTGAGTTGGCCCAGCTTAATGGGATCCTTACCAGCAGATATCAAGGAATCTTGAAGAATTTCATCGATGAGTCTCTTTCCAAATCCCAGTTCGTCCAGACGCTCAGGTTTAGAAATTCTCTTCAATAAGACTGCCAACAGTAGACGCATTCTCTCTAACGTCATATTCTTATATTTACTGTAATCTGTATTTTTATGATTTTCACCATCAATTTTATCGGCGGTTCCATCATCATTGATGATATCTCCACCATGATAAAGTTTCTCGTGACTCTCGAGATCATTCTTCTTTTTGAAGAAATTATTACAGTTATTGCAACTATAGGGTTTAGTTCGTTTATGAATGCACTTCATGTGTTTCTTCCAATGCGGCAGTTGTGTGAATCCGACATTGCACTCAGTACACTTGAAGGGTCTTTCTCCAGTATGTCTTCTAGTGTGAAGTTTCAGGGCTGTTGAGTGAGCAAATGCTTGCCAACAAACAAGACACCTGAACGGTCGTTGTCCTGTGTGTGTTCTTTGATGGACAGTCAATTGTGATTTCTGGGCAAATTTCTGTCCACAAGTTGGACATGCATGAGGTCTATCATGGGCATGTGTTCTCATGTGTTGTGGCAAGTGACCCTTGAATGTTTTATTGCAGATAACACAGAGAAATGTTTTAAGATCCTTATGTAAGCACTCGAGATGTTTTTTGAGAGCATCACGTCTGATAAATCCCTTTCCACAGATGCTACATGTATGATCCTTTTGACCATTGTGCCGTTTCATGTGTAGAGTAAGGTTAGCAGCACAAGTGAATGTACCCATACAGAGATCACATTGATAAGGTTTTATTTGGCTGTGTGTACGTCGATGCTGGGACAATTGACCCCCTCGAGCAAAGCTCTTTCCGCACTCTGCGCATTTATAGGGCTTAAAGCCTGTATGGGTTCGAACATGGAGTTTCAAACGTTCTTTCAATGGAAATTCTTTACCACAATCGTCACATTTATATAATGGCCCAGTTGCATGTACAACTTTATAATGATTTCTCAAGCCTCCACTGCCTTTGAACTTGGCCTCGCACATCATACAGTTGTACCTTTTCAACGATTCCAGTTGTTCTTCACCCGTGTCAGTCAATGAATCACCTTTATCCTTATCATTATTTATTTCCTCCAATTGATTATTATTATTATTATTATTATTATTATTATTTGCTTTTTCCGTTACATTTACATTGTCATTATCATCTTGATCTAGAAGATAACTCGCTTGGATTATCACATCTATGTTGAGTCTTAGGTCTTGTTCTTCTTCATCTTTTGAGGATAATAAATTTTGGCTTTGCTTATCTTTCAATGATTTTTTATTCTTCCTGGGGACTTGTTTCAATTTCCCATCGAGCATTTCATTGGCATGATTGGCATTATCTAATGCACCACTTGATTTTTTTACTCCACCAATATCAATGTCCATCTGTTGATCTTGATAAAAATAATATATTTCATCTTTAGGAAAATCTTTATTTTTCAATTTTCCCATTTTTCGATTATTGACTTTACCATTATTTTCTTCATCATTAATACTATCAACTTGTTTATTATTATTTTCAGCCAAAAAAAATTGATGCTTTTCAGTTTCATCGATTAACTCCAACTCATTATCATTTTGGGTAAAACTTCTAAGCACCTTGAGTCCATCAGTTGTATTTTGATCTTTATCGCTTCTTGTATGCTTAATTCTCGATTGCTGTACCGGCACAAGTTCAGTCAACTGAATGTCCTCCTGTAGGTGTTCAGCGTCAGAGACCTGGCCAAGTGACGTCTCGTGTGTGTTGGTCATTTTTTATTTGTTTAATTAATTTTCCTCCTCTTTTTCAATGTCAATTTAAATAGTACATCTTTACATTGATGGCTCAACTTGATTTATAATAAGCCGCTGGACGACAATCATTATGATTCATTCTAGCGAGTCTAATAATTTATTTAAGTAATAAAAATAACAATAGATGATCGAATAATGAACAGTAATGCTGTGCTGTGCGCACAACCAGAAAGACTTATATGCACTCTTCTGTCCCTTATCGTAGACTGGCGTTTCCACACATTGATGAAAAAACAGGGCACACGCACGTTCAAGTAAACACTCAAGTGGGAGACGTGGGTGAGACTCAAAGTGTTATCGGAGCGCTATCGTATTGCCAGTAATTTTCATTTTTCCACCTCTTGTGTATCCATCGATGTAGTAGAAATTAATAAAACAGATGTTTTCAATACTCGAGCCTGGTCTTTCTACGCGCGCATTGGAATCACTCAGGCATTCTGCTTACAGAATTTCAACAAAAATTGTTCCTACTAATTATAAGTTTTCAACGTTTTAAGTTTTCAAAGTTGATGATTAGCATTAGAATCTCCCTTTGATACGTTTCTAATTCTGTCAAAAGCCGGGGCTCAAGAGTGAAGCCAGCGGGCGTTGGAATCACCCAGAGGATGAATATCTCCTAGCTAGCCCGATATTTGCTCACGGCACGACTGAATTGATTACGAGAGAGAGAGAGAGAGAGAGAGAGCTTGCGTGTTGCTGCCCGATTGTATGTTTTGTATTATTTTTTTTCTTCTTCTTCTTCTTCTTTTTCTTCTTTTTCTCACACAATTCCGCGCTTTTTTTACGCATGCGCACTTTACTGGTCGATATTGGTTGCTAGTTGATAGACTTGTATACATCAGAATCAGAACAATTCAACAATCCAGGGTGGTTACGTTCCTGCTGCAGTCGACCTCTCATCTCTTCTCCACACGAGTTATTTTCCGGTCCACTACTCAGCAACAATTTAATCGTCAATCCATCCATTGTTTGGCAGATGCCTAGCTTTGACAAATACAACTTATGTCTAGCACGTGGAGATCGGGGATAAATTACATTGAACGTTGAATATTCGGCATTGAAAACAGGCATCGATGTCGCTTGCACAGCTTGAAGCTGATATTTGTGTGATGGGGCTGGCTTACCTTGGAATTGAATTTGCAAAGAAATTTTGGATCCTGGAGATTCCTTGGTGATTCCAATATGAGAAAATACCGCAGTGTTGTTGTTATTATTTTTGTGCTTCAGGCAATTTTTTATTTATTTTAATCAATCTTGATGATGAGCAGATATTTTTCAAACAACTCTCATGTGTTTACGAGTTTTTATGGGCATTGTGAACAAGAGTAAAAGCAATCGTGTGTGCCCTCCGGTTAGTGGCCACGCCTAATTAAACGACTTCCGCTTTGTGTCAAGAGGCAGTCTAGAGAGACTACTGATGATAGCTTAACTATGTTAGTATTTGAATTTTAAGATTTTTTAACAGCGGAATTTTTGCATTAGAAAACAGTCCAAGAGAAAGTGCCCAACACCATCTGAAAGAAATATTTCACACATTTTTCCTTTTTCCGTTATCCATCACCATATTAATAAACAAATGGTTGAGAGAAAAGCAGTGAAACTGTCTTTTATATCAGTCTTGGCTGAATTTCATTATTTTCAATTGATTTTTAATTTTTTAATTTTTACAAAAGAATGAAGGCTCGCCGCCGCCAATGTGAAATAGAAAATGAAAGAAAATTCATACTTTTATTAATATTATATTAACATTGTTTCTCTCTCTCTCATTTCTTTTTTTTAAATACTTGAGCGGTAAAAGAATTCTACCTTATAAACATTTATATTTGTACATGCTTGCTATTGGTAGATACATTCCTAACTATACATTGCCCATATATTTCATTAGTCACTAGTAGAAAACATGTTTGTGCGCATTGAACTTCCCAATCGACACTCTGGTCGTCCAAATTACACTTCTTCTCCCCAAAAATGTATTACTTATCAGGTAAATTTCATCCCTTGCCTCCCATTGTTTCGTAATAAAAAGCTCAATGACCAGCAAACAGATAATTGAATAATTAATTCATGTACTCACCAACATTCTCGTATTGTTATTAACATCACACAATTACTATTTTTGACTTGACTGAATGCACGTATGGTTTGACATGTAATTCGCCATCTTTAATCACCTTAAAACTCGTCCCGCTAGAGGAGTTGTGTGGTATTGTTGTGTGTACTGTACATACGAAGCGAAATTTCTTCATTATCAACGTATGATGTAACTCACAGACAGCAGATGATAAATAAAGATGAGCATTCATTATCGAATTATAATAAAAAGAAATTCATTCAGAGAATGAAGAATGATTAGTAGTGATTGAAAGTATTGGAGAATGTGGCATACATACTTATCAACAACATAATTTCCATTTCAAGTTATTCTCCGCAAGATGGCAACTTTGTTCACATTCTCTAATGGTTCACAATAAGCGTGAGCCTTCAAAATCCAAACCCAACATAAAATATATGCACATATATGTACGGCGGCAGGCACACGCACACATTGAACGTTACTCGGCTCGGTGCTGCTTGGTGCTGCTGCTTCAGCATTGAATTGAGCATCAACTCATGAAGTGTGGTGGACGGTGGTTGACAGTGCAGTGCAGTGCAGTGCAGGTAGTGTGGCGGCCGAGAGTGTGGCCGCACCGGGGCCCTCTTACTAACATTTCATTTAACTTTGTAATTTTAAATCTATCAATGCTGTGTAAAGAAGAAAAAAATTGAAGGATATAAAAGTGTATTTAACCTTCAATTTCCTCCGAGTTTTCTTTATGTACATTTTGCAAATGTGACAGTTGACATTTTGTTTTCGCTCTGCAAATCCAATCTTGCCCCATTATTTTCTCCCCTTCCTTTGAGTGCCACCAGTTGCGTGTTGCGTAATACGTGAAACCCATGGAAAGTAAAAACAACAACACTTTTATCCTTATGGAAAATGTTTGGTGTTTTTTTTCATCACTTGATTGATGATTGAGCCATTCTTACGAGCAGCATCACTTAAAAACAATACTACTCTGCTGGCATCTGTCGGTGAATCGAAATTAACACACAGGTATTTATGTTTTTCAAAAATTAATAATTCTTTATGATTGGAAATTCGTTGATACGAGAATTTTTCCTAGTTATGATGATGATCGTTTGATACACTTCCATTTCAAAAACTCTCGCGTACAAGTGTTTCCTCTGAAGATTAATAACAAAGAGTGTAAGTTGCCGTATCGAGAAATACAACATAATGTACATATTGGGATACCGTTATCATTCTAATAATTTATAATGTTGATGAACAACATTGGGATTGAGGGTCTATTTCTGTTTCACTTGGCGTGATTTTTTACAACCAATCCTTAGTTTGACGGGACTTTCTATAATTTTATTATGTACGATAAACGGCTTCAGATTTAAATTTAAATAGGGTAAATAGGACATTTTTCATTTTCAACAGATGTGTTATTGACGACCATTATGTAATAATGTGAGTTATTCATTTTGTCAAATTACCCACCAGATGCAAGACAACCTCGAATGCGCTTTTTTTCTTGTGCTTATTTCGAATGCTGTCAATTGATGTACAAGTAAATTGTAAATTCTACCACTTTTTATTTTCTCTATGATGTTTTCCATACCCACTATCTTGGTCTCAATTATAATTCACACTCTGGCTGAAGGCCTTGGGGCGATGACCTGTTGCAAGTTGATTGATAACGAAATACGTTAAAAGCCAGAAAAATATATGGAAATCGATTGTCAAGATGTGAAAATGAAAGTAATTATATCATTATATGTTTTCAATCCATTTTTTTTGCCTCATTTCCATTGGATATTTCGTTCATTTTCATTGAAGCAATCGAAATATCTTCTTTCCACAAAATCGGTATACCTAGTATGCTATAAGCAGCAGCTAGAGAATTCAATATTTTACCCCTATAGGAAAGCAGATAGGCCTGGCCAGGGTAATTCCACGTTAATTTAATGCATTTTATTATTTCTTATTATCAGTGTTTTTTATCTGAGACCATTCAACGGTCTCCTCCTCCATTGCCATTTTTGATACTTCAGTAATCTACTAATTTCGACAAAATGTATGTATTTATTGGAAAGTTATCTCGGCTTGTACGTGCAATAATTTGATGATTCATCAATTCTTTATTTTGTTAATTATTTAAACAGCCAAGTAAGTCATTTTTTTTTCTTATTTTTCAATTGGCTCACAGTTGTCAATTAATGATTCAAGTAATTCATTAAATGAAGGTAAAGCTCTCATTGCCCGTGATTTTGGAGTTAGGTTGAGCGGCACTGTTCCTCGCATGAGTTTCATTAATTTGCCGCGCCTGGAGCTTTATCCCGCACAGACTCCTTCATGTATATATTCACCGCCTAGCTCCTCTCCAATGTATTTAAGCCTAACCAGTACACTTGTATATTAGAAAACCATGCATCTAATATCTAATATTACATTAAATTATATTATGTATATAATATGTTGAGTTGTAGCAAATGTGCCATGTCATCTCATTGTCCGTCGATAGAAACATGCATAAATGGAAGACATGAAAAAAACTACCGGCGGTGATTACTGCGGGCATAGTTTCTATTGCCTTACCCCCACTCTGACTAACTAGTATAGACAATCTTGGCTGCAGAGAGAGAGAGAGCGAGAGAGAATGACCTAGAGCATACATTCGTCGCAATGATGTTGTTGAGAGGACGGTGATGAGAAAAGATGAAAAAACTGACACTTTTCTTTATTTATGTAAAAGAGCGCACTGATAATTACATATTTGCCGTCCATGAAGATCGGATGATTGCTCGATGCCAGTGACTCTTGTCACTTCATTCGTCGTCTGAATCACTAACATTTTAAATAACATCAATTGAATGATTTTCCAACTTCAATGCATTAAGCAATTCAATAGTTTTCAGAACTATATAAAGAATATTTCTGTGAAATTTGCTTCATCATTAGCCGCAACGAAAAATAATCAATTATTCAGCTTTGTTAATATTGGCAGTAGGGATTTAAAAAAAAAGGACAATTCACCTATTTCAATCGAAAATAGTCAATGTATGAGGGAATAGTGTATCCAGTTGGTATGGCTGGACAACGGTACTCGCAGAGTTTCCCACGGCTCCGGTCTCGTCTTTCATGTGAAGGCGCACGTTCTTCTATAAATGTGAGGAAAAGATACTACCTATGCGAATTTCGGTAAAGCTTGATACAGCCAAATGCTAGGATATTCTGATCAAAAATGTATCCCCACATATTGATTGAAATTTTCAAATTGAATGACAGTTAACTGTCAGCATGTTAGCAATAGACAGCTAGAGAAGAAAAAACTAAATTTCAATGGCTTACTTTTTTTTTTATGAATAGTTTCTATTTACGGTGGTGTTTGTATGAGCAACCTGTAGTAAACCTAATTGTAAATAAACGGCATTTTTTGGAAAATCGGGCTTCTCAAAGCCCACAGTGGGAGCGGGCGCCGCCAATTGTGTTGGTTGGAATTAAAAGCTAAAATCGATGAATCACAAAATATCAACAAGACCTCCGTAAAGTCACATCCGGGGAGAAGAAGTTACATAAGACTCTTGGTGACGACGCCCGGCCCGATGAGACATACTAGCGTAAGGTGAACAGAAGGGTGAGGAAGAAAAAGGAAAAAGGAAAAAGGAAAAAGGAAAAGGAAAGAGAGGGAGAAGAGTGAGAACCCCTGAGAACGTGTACCGGTTGTTCCACTCATGGAATGCGGACCATCGTGTGTGTCTACGTACAACGGAATGGGTCGTCTCTCGTCTCGTTGTGTACAATTATTGTTGTCCAATATGCGCGCACAATACTGATCACAGATAATGATATCAGATATGATTTCGTTGAAAATGAAAAACTACTTGATATTATAAAATAGAATTCATGATTTCATGACATTCATCAATTCCTTCATGCCCCTCATCGCCACATTGATTTAGTGAATTCAACAAAAGAATCCATTGATTTATCAATATGCCCTTTGTAATTTACTTCAAATGATTAGTCTTCAAGTGAAGGCATTATACAAATTTAAAATTGACGTATGACACCACCGTACGTTCATTTGATGTGAACAATCGGAGGAAGTCCACGTTTATAAATATACAATATACAGTCAATGTAGATGATATGTAAATCAGCTTCAGACATTTAGCATATAACACAGAGGATAAATTTCGAAATTTATGGGACAAAAACATAGCGGCGTGTGTCTGTGACATTTTTATGCGAAAATGGGGGGTAATGAAAATCACTAGAATCCACCTGGATCTTTAAAAATTTAAATTCGTTTCGTTTTCTATATGCATAAGTTTTTTCTTTCAAAAGTATCAAAAATAATTATTATGCATTATTTGGAAATGGATAGTTTCCTGTTGATTTCTTTTTCTTTTTTTGTCTGTTTGCTTCCAAATGAATACCTCTTATTCGGAAGAGAGGAGAAGAGAAACGTTTCAAGGCTCAGGAATATCCATATGCGAATGTGTTAAGGATAAGAAGTAGCTGGCATTTGGCATCTATTCGGAAGCTTGTTAGCAACCAATGTTATTGGTAGATAAAAAAAGCTGCATAAAACAATGGTCAAAATATATATGATCGAGTAGATTCGACCATGAGCTTGTTGTTTTCAACGTTCATTAATTTTTCCAGAGAACAACGATTGATAAAAGAACAAGAGCTTTTCGTACAAGAATATGGCGAGTGCAACTTGCTTCTGGCCTTAATAATAGAGGACAACACATACCGCAGGTAACAAGACATAATTTGAAAATTTCTCCCTCTGTTAGGATTATTTCCAATATATTTTATTCGGAATATACAATATCTCTGGAACATCTTTCGGAAGGTGGTTGGAGGAGATTGTTCAATTGAATCATGAATTGTCTGAATTTATCAACAATGGATTTCAACAATTAACATAACCCACGACATTCGTATACATACAACACGCACGTGATTAACTCGCTGCAGTTAATCAGAGGCCTAATTACCGATAGACAAGAATCTTCGTCTCAGACCAAGTAACGATGGCATGGGGACGGGGACGGGAAGACCAATGCCTGCGTATGTGTATGATGTCCAACATTAGCGTCCTCTCGGGACCAATGACGTTAATTTCACTGCATTAATGTACTGGAAATCTCACTTCCCCACACACACATACACACACACACTGATATGGGCTGATATTTTCTATCATTGATGATTAATGCAATCCTTCAGGGGGGGTGAAGGAAATTTTAATTTTTTTTATTTCACGATTTCTCAGAAGGACAGATTCCGAGCTGTAAGATTATCGCACAAGAAAAAATTATCAGCTTTTTAATGGTTCTTCGGGTTTTTTTACTCTCCATTATCTACATCACCAGAGAAGGCTAGATTACATACATCTCAAGATTTGAAGATATCTCAGTAGGCACCAACATTTCAAATAAATTAACATAGTCTGGATAGATCTAAACAGAGTATAGCTTCTCCAGCAATTACATTCAGGACAATTCCAAGTTTTATACCTATTTCTTGCAATCCAAAAAAAACGCGCTGTCCCTGCGTCCGCACCCAAAAAAAATTCTATCCCTCTGGACAATCGTTTCTTTTTTTCTTTTTCCTTTCCCCCTCAGCTGATGTTATCATAAAATTGTAAAAAACTTGAGAAATGATTTTCCTTCTCTCCTTCCACTATTTAGTGGGAATAAATTTGAAAATTGGAATGACTATAGTATAGAATTTTTTAACAAGATGTTGAACTGTATGTGATTAATAACGAGACTTTGATTGGTAATACAAGGAATTCGACCCCTCCCACTTTGACGATGCGTCGCTGTCTGTCGGCCAATCGCTGTAACGCTTGATAACGTCGCCATAATTAGTTGGATTTGTTAATAGACGCACAAGTAACACGAGTCTCGGACATCAGTACTTAGCCTCATCGATGTTTATTCACATGTGGTGCAATTAGGAATTCTTTTACGTCACTTTTAGTGTTTATACGGAAGAATTTATTGATATCAAAATAACAACAACAACAACAACAACAACAGCAACAATAATAATATTAATAATAATAATAATAATAATAAGGTTCTGAGGGATTTAGTGACATTTTTCAATCAAGTTTCAAATTTCAGTGAAGTAAAATATAATAATAATAATAACAATAATAATAATAATAATAATAATAATAATAATACACACACAGTGTTGATAAATCGCAACGTCGGGTGAGAAAATCAATCACATATTATGCTTTAATTAATGCGCTATATAGAGTTGATATAGATTGATAATACACCATCATTATTGAGCAATCAGAGAAATTTTTCCATTTCAAATTATATTTTCTCTATCACTCAATTTCCTGTTTACCATTCTACATCAGGGAACGTTTTTAATTTCATTGGCAACTCGTTTTCAATGCAAACATTCCTTCATTGTTTACTCCTCTAGATTTGTTTTTTAATAGCCAAACTGTGAATCTGAATACCAAATCCATTGTTCTAGAGGCACTTGGAGTTGACTCGGAGTCTCGTAACGACGTGATTTCCGTTTCAACAATGAAGAATCCCTACTGATACACTTATTCTATAGATCTTTGGATGTCACCTTTGATCCTATGTATATCCATTGTCAGTGTAAAAAAAAACTATTTTGGCCGTAAAAATAGAGCGCTTCCAGATAAAACTGATAACTCTATTGTAATGTTGAAGCAATAGCATTAACATGTCTATTCAATCCATTATTATTATTATTATCATTATTATTGAGTCATGGCGGACGACAAAACGTTCGACGGTCACTTTCCAATGTGAAATATAAAAATGGATTTTCCATTATTTTGAAATTGAATGGATGTTATTTATACAATGACATTCCCTCTTTTTCATCTTTTACAATCAACAAATTTACTCCCTGTAAGAATGACAAGGAGAATCACTCTAGCAAATGATACCGTACGAAAAATTCACCTCAGTAATGAAAATTAAATGATAAATTCCCCTCTATTACAATGGATACAAGGGATTCTCGGATGATGTTATTATAATATTCTTATCTCTCGTTGCTCTCCGTCATACTTATCATGAATTTTTACGATTGTGTAATGGACTTTAGATATTCACGAGTATCTGGAGCGTCCAAGGCATACGAGGAATTGTACACCAGGCGTCTGTGAATCTCATTAAATTTTTATTTATTTTTGTTTTTTTTGTTTGTTTTTTTTCTTTTTTTTTTTTCATAAACACTTGATAACATATTATTCTGCAGTAATGCTGTTTGAGAATCATCGGCTGAAAATATCTAAAACATGAGCATTTTATTCTATACTATATATTGGAAAATTGATGTAAAAAATGTTGAAATTGATGGAAAAATTAACAGAGAGGATTAAAGAGGATGATGTATTGTTAAAGGATGGTGTTAGTGGTAAATGGGGTACTCCAAGAGGAGCCTCCCGCAGATAGCAGGTCTTTGTATTTAGCCCACCCAGTGTACAGAGAATCTGCAGCACAACTCCACTCTATGCCAGCTAAATTGGTGGGCCCGGTTGGTTTGCTTTATGTGCAACAACGAGAAATGGCTGCAACTCTCCCCCATGACAGTGAGTATTAGACAGACACACTGTGACAGATGTTTTCATTTGATATTAAAAGTATTTTTTTTATTTTAGAAAATGTGAGTATTCTGGGCTCGGATGACATGACGACATGTATTATTGTTGTCGTTAAACATTCAGGTAATTCCAATTATATATTGGTCGAACAATCAATTTTTCATTCATGCCATTTTTTATACTGTGTGTATGTAGAAAAATTGACATTTATTAATTGTTTCAAGGATCTGGCGCAGTAGCGTTGGCACATTTGGATGGAGCTGGGACTGATGATGCTGCTACTTGTATGGTGCAGAGGGTAACTGAGTTGGCAATGGGATTTCCTGAGGGGAGGATTGAATTGCAACTCATTGGAGGTTATTCAGATCCTCGGAATTATTCTGAAGAACTATTTTTCAATATTCTTTGTAGGTGTATTTATACTTTTTTCCTCATCATCAGTCTTGAAAGCTATTTATTTGAATACTTTGAAAAATATTGTGTGTTGCAGCGGCATTTCACAAGCAGCCTATTGAGATTGATTTAACACTGTGCTGCGTGGGTGAATTGAACACGACAGCGAGAGGTGGTATCCATTGGCCTGTCATTTATGGAATTGGACTGAATGTCAAGACTGGTGAGATATTTCCAGCGACATTTCCGGACAAGGGACCCGATCAGGCTTTGAGATCTGCTAGGCACTTGACAGGTGGCCAACAGGTGAGTCCATTTCCTTTATTATCCCATCCCCTATGCTCACAAGTGTCAATTTTCAATATTATATACTATTCCTGGATTATTTCAGGTTTTAGATGTTTATGACTGTAGTTTGGGACTCTTGAGAATCGGCCCTTTTAATTACGATCCACTTCGTGGAGTTGATCTTTGGCTAGCTCAATCAGATCAGTTCATTCTTCAGCATCTTTCTACTTCACCAGATGTAGAACCGCCACATTTTGTATCACAGGTACAAAATCATCAAATGCCAACAACAATTCATTTCATTTCATTTTTTTTTATTTCTATATTTTCACGCTTCATCACTCTTTCCAGATAAGAGCAACGCTCAAGTACATCCAGGACAATCAATTTCCGGCTGTGACTGTCTTTCGGGACAACAGGCCTCACTATTATCGCCGAGATGAGGCCACTGGGGTTTGGCAACCAATTCGTTATGATACCAATTTCTAAAAAATACCGCAAACAGCAAAACTATTCGAAATGTGGTTGTAAATAATTGTTTCACTAATACTTGCCGCCGGGCTTACTAGTATTTTTTATCATTATTTCAAAATTTACCATCTCAGAAGAAGAATAAAAATTACATAGAGCCGTCCCAAGATGAAGGTAAAATTATATGCAAATTATTATGCAACGTTGAATGAAAAAAACTTATACAAGTGATTGAAAATACTGACAGTTGACTCATTTTAGTGAAAAAAATTAGCCGGCTCGGATTCCGTATGCGAAGCCGTGAAAGAAAAGAAATGAAATTATTCATAACATATGAAGAAATATATTTTCATTATACATTTAGGAGCAAAAAATTGTCAAGATTTAAATAATAATTTTATTCATCTATATAGCAACAAGCAATTGAAAGAGAATATTTTGCCTAAATTTTTTAATACCTAAAAAATGAGCTTTATATTCAGACAGTAATGGTTCCTTTTCCTTTTCTCCTTTTTATTAAAAAAAAAAAAAAATCATCTTTTTAAGAAGAAGAAAAAAAATTATCGCACTCCAGTATCTGATTTCTACAATTTTTCATGTTCATCAAGAGAATATACTGTCGTGCATTGGGGGGAGGCGGAGGAGACTTCATCGTCAATATATTACAGCGCAACTCATCATTTTTGGCCATTTTTTCAATTTGTTTTTCATCCATCTGCACAGAGAAAAGACATTTCTTATTGTGCCATTAACATAGTAAAGCATAATATTCAACTCATTCACTATGCTTTCCACCATCATTTCCGGATGGTCTTTTTTGTTTGCATTCTATTATTTCTCATTTAGAATCTCATTTGATGTCCAAGATTTAATGCAAATGACAACGTAAATGGTTTGGAGATTTCCATAAACTTCAGTTTTTTTTCTCATTAATATATCGTCACGCATTGATTGAGCAAAAAATGAGCAATTTTAATTTTTGTTGATGGCGAAAAGATACTATTCACACTCGTATGTTATATCAAGATATAACATATACTGAGTTGACAGACAAATTCAAGACCGACAATTTTCAAATGAGAAATTGTAAGTTGAAATGAAGATGCAACAATTTTTAACTTTTTATTCGGTGATATATATATATATATATATATATATATATATATATAATAAATGAAATGATAAGTAAATGTTTAAAGTATTTCAAATATATGTTTTTCAAGTGTTTGCATACTTACTTTGAGTCGATTTCACTTTCAGTTGAAGAAATACTTAAATCCCCCTACACAAACCATTTTCCACTACGCTAACATCCCGACAAAGGGGGGCGGGGGCGAGGGACAGATAACAGTTGTCAGATAGTGAATACAAGCAAACCACTAAATTAGAGGAAAAAAAAAATAAAATCTACTGGTTATCCGTACCGACTCCACCAGTCGATACCATGAAAATACAATGTATCATTTTAATGAAATTCAATCGGGATTTATTTTTTTTTTTACTATTATTTTTAACGAAATTCGTTCCAAGTCCGAGAACTTGCAACTGGCTATCGCCCGAGGGCCTTCAGCCAAGATTTATTTTATTTCCAAGAGAATTAATCAATTGAGAAATATACAGGCTTGAAAATTGAGAATAGGGAGAATACAATGAGTTGTGCGATCGGTGAGGCTGGGCGATGCGAGTGACAAGAAAAGCCACGATTCTACAGTAGCCCTCGAAGATAATACCCGACGTCGATCAATCTTATACCTGACATTTCATAGAGCGCAAGCTTATCTTACCCATATCTAGCAAGCATCATGTGGGGAAACTACGCATTTTCCAAGAGGAAAATTTGAATAAACAAATGAATGCAAATGTTTATGGAATATCTTACATATGGGTATTGAAGGTATTGAAAGATTGTGTCAAACATCTCTCATTATTTTTTTCCATTTTATATCTCATATCTCAAAAATTATTCATTGGTTTCAAAGCTCTCATTCGGTTTTACCATTTTTTTTCTGCGCCCAATGCGTAATTATATGCACGTTGTGACGTTACGACACCTCTTAAATGAGATTTTATAAGACCATTAAATCCAGAGAGCAAGGGGCATCGGTTTAATGAGATTTAACGCTATGTTAGGGCCAAGATAATGACACATGACAAAGTGAATACTCACAAGTCTAACAACGTTTTAGTTGAAATTTTCGCGCATGGTCTGTGTTGTTTTCGACGAAAACGCTTCGAGAGTTGGGCGATGTGAATCGTGGATGAGAGAAACGACGTTAAGCGTCCCGACGCTCAGTGCCGCAGCGTCAATAGATCAGAACGCACCTTTTACCTCGTGCCATTATATAGATTAAATGCTTGTTGTGAATAAACTTCATTCTCCGAGGCAAAATGAAAAAATCCATTAAATTATTACAATTTGTCAACTATTTTTTTTCCTATCGCGTCTGTAATATTCGTCTTAATTACATTTTATTTTGTCTTCCAAACTGGTAGTTCATTAAATCATCATATCATTGAGAGATTGAGTCTCAACTTGGTAAGTTCATTTTATATCACTCTATATAGATAGTATTAAACACTGTTTTTAGAGTTGCCTACAGTCCCCGTTGAATACATGTATTAATTATATATTTCTTCTTGGCATTAATCATTTACTTCAAATTTTCCTCAGCAAGAAGAATACTCACAACTTTCTCGGATAGTTGATTTGTTTTGTAATTTTATATCTACCTATAATCTAAATGAACAAATGAATTGGGATTATACATTTTTCTTAGCAATTATCCGCATACTGAATATTCCATCAGCTATCGTCATCATGTCAATAATTTGTGCAACTACATGCAGTAATAACAATGATAATAATAATAATAATAATAATAATAATAATAATAATAATAATAATAATAATAATATCCATCATCAATGGATATTAAACACATTGAATTTATTTCACACATTTCCCGAAAAGATTAGCCAGGTTTATCCAATGTCACGTTTTCATTCACTAATTATTCGTGCATATGCTGCTTTTCGTGGAATATTCTCGTGGGGAAAATCATGTCTAAAGGATCTGCATAGGAAAAAGAGAAATAGAATTAAACTGTGCCGAATGGAAATTTTCACATGGAGAAATATTAATTTTATTCCGCCGGATAACAATAATGCATTAATCAACTTTGGAGATATCAAATTTTTCATTATCAAGAAACTGGTAGCTTTTTATTTCTCGTCTCCTTAACTTCAGATCCTCTCCTCGGCTTTTTCCTGAGGAGATGGAATCGTGTTTAATAAAAGAAGAAAACTCTATCCTGCAGCTGCATTCCTTTACACCGATTTTTTTTTCTTTTCCAAGTGAATATACAAGGTTAATTCAACTGAAGAATATCGTGCTTACTCGTGTTAAAATTCAATTACTCCGAAGGAATCCATTCGAGCAAGTGTATCCCTAGAGAACGACGACTACCGCGCGTATGGCATTCATTCTCAGGAGCCCTTCAATCTATCATTTTCCAACAAAGTGTATATTTTCAATGTTATTTTTACAAACGTAACGGCTTTTTGGATGACATTCTAATCATTTTAGCGAACCATGAATTAATCTTAGGAGTCGATTTGGACGCATATATCTCACTTTGGGGAAAAGAATTGACTTGAACGGTTTTACCGATTCGCTACTGAAATGATTAATCACAGAGTTCTCGCGAATAAATAAAGAGAAAACAAATACCATTCATCTACCAAATGTGGGTATACAAGTCTTCATTGTATAGAATAAACCAGAGTTTTCATTAAATCCTGGGGGGTTGCTTCTTTAGAGGAATATCGACCTCTGCCAGTCCCTCATCTATATCTTGACTATACCGTAGTAGCTACCGTGAAATTTCGTATTACCACTTTATCACGGGGTTCTGTGCAGTTCATGAGTGTAATTGCATGCTACTGTTGCTTTATTTGACTATATATATATATATATATGTGTTTATGTGTCCTGAGAGGACTTTGTACGAAATGCAGGACTGGGACAAAGGACCACTTTGAAATTGAATTTCCTAACAAAGTTTGAAAAAAAAAAACATTGAAAGCGATGACCATTAAAATCATTGACTATCAAATATCAATTCACTGAAATTAATCAGTACTATTAAAACATACTAAAAAAAATGAAGAAAAGACATTTAGAAGATATTGCTTAAAAAAATTCACATCTGCAGCTTAATTTATTTGTGTCGATATGTTTTGCTTATACATATACACAGCGCGAGACAAAGGATCGTTCTCACCCTGTTTTACGTAGAACGACGGCGCGACCTCGTGGAGCCTACGCCCCGCAAGCCACATTCAATACTCAACAAAGAGCGTAGAGGAGGCGAGTAGTACATAGTAAGACTAAACGTTGACGGTAGATTTACAGAATTGAAATTGGATATGTTCTCATCTGCCATTTAGTTCTATGCAAGAGCACTCTCCATTTCTGACGCACTCAATGAATGTATTTTTCAATGGAAAGCATGTTCTCTCTTCTCTATTTTCTACATTGAGTAAACGAATAGTTAACAAAAATTGGAAAATATTGATGAAATTCTATCATGGACTTGACAACTTGTAGTTAATGAGCAAACATTTTGACCAATTAGTGACTCAACTCTTGAATGAAGCCAGAAATGGCAACTTAAGGTGAACCTGACAAAGCTACAACTTTATAATGACAAAAACTGGTTCTCACACATTAAACTTTTGTAATAATCCCTGACCTTTGTCCCCTTCGACCGATCAAAAAATACCGTAAATATTCAACTTTAAATTAATTACCCACAAACTATTAATGAAACAGTTTGACAATATACAATCGACGATTGATGCAAACTGAAGCTAAATAGCATTTCTGCCACTAGCCTCACTAATTTACAGATTATCATTTATAAATTTGATGAATTTAGCACATAAGCTCATTCAGGAAGAGAAAAAAAATCAATTTTCATCTTTATAAGTTATTATCACTTTATTAGCAAGAAAATGAGACTAAAAATTTGTTCACCATGAGTCTTCCGATAAAGTGAAAATATATATGTATCATCAACCTGAGGTTATACTAGAAACAACACTGCTGGATCGTCCATCCAGACTTGTTACCGCCCACTGGTTCACACAGTTGCCTTTGATCATTTCACGCAAGAATTGCCAGATATACCGGGCTATAGTACAGTGGTGGTTGAATCGACAGGCCAGGAAGCTCTGGCTGACACCGATACAAGTAGTATAGGGTCGATGGTGCGACATCACAGGCATGCTGAAAAGAGTTGGACACATATGGTGGATATTTTGCCGTTCACTTGATGCCTGCCTCAGTGAACAACCCCATTTTCTAACACCCCTAATTCTAACGCTCCCTTTTCAAGCCCACTTGTTTCAAACTTGTGAATATTATGCCTCTCCCCCGCACCCGCCCCCGCTATAACAAATTGGTAACGATAATAATAATAATAATAATAATAATAATAATGTAGTCTATTATATTCCATGATTTTTCATTTGCATCATAGTTTCCCATTAGCCTCACTATGACAGCAGCAGAATCACAGCGTCTGCTATATAGATAAATACTTAGCGAAACTAAGCCGGATGATCTTCCACCCGCTGTGGGGAGAATGCGTTATACTTCAATTTTCTTCCTCAGTTAATTCAATCAACACAAGATTATTCCTTTTTCCCCTCTGTTTTGCATATAGGTTGTCGTCATGAAAAGCATAATGACGTTCTTGTATGTGTCATCCCCTGGCTTTTGTTTCAATGGAGTGAAATGCTATTGCCAGTGGGGGGGCTTCATGGCAAAATCGTTGTACTACTATATACACGTACACATAAAATAGCAATTCCCCTTGTTGAGCTAACAACAACATCTAATTATTTGGCTTTCCTATGCTATTGCAATTCCTCTTATTTACTATAAATAAAATACTCTTTACTCTTTTATTTTCCATACTTTTCCTTTATTATTACATCATTAACGGCGACAAATCAGTGTTCAGCTCCTTACTAATTTACCCGTAGTGATGAGAACGCTTGTAATCAAGGTGCATGAATTTGAGTATAAATATATAAATAATGAGGTGCTCAATAAGATTTAACCTCATTCCATATTCTAGACTTTACAGATTCACTCATTAAGAAATAAGAAGAACAACTGCACTGGAGATTCAAGTAGTCGATCCTCTTGACTATCGTCCTAATATTTACTATTCCCGCTTATTCTGCCCACTGTATTTTCTCTACCATACTTTTATATCTACACAAGTATTTTGCTCCCAGCTAAAATTAGAGGAAAAAATTTAAGCAAGAAGAACGGAAATAACGAGCATGTGGTTTTATTTTATAATATGGAAGAAAAAATGATGTAATGAAGTTTGGTGTAAAGTTTTCGTTCTCAGTGAATATAATGATGGATTTTTCGTCTGAATAGTGCAATCAAAGAATCCAGAGTTTTTCTTTCGCATAAACAGACATCTATCATATTAAGGGCTGATGAATTTGTTGAATTTGAAAGAGCAGCGCTCCGTAGAAAAAATAAATTTTCAATTTATGAATTATCATGCCAGCCATATAATTTGTTCTTTGTTTCAATTTAATTCTCCGAGTTCCAAGTACCGCTCGAAAGCATTGTGCTGCACAACTAAGGGAAGAATGGAGAAAAGTTTGTAATTCCTTTACAAGAGAATAAGCTCAAGTTTCCAAGGTAAAAGTGGGGTTCAGTATAAATTGATGATGAACTGGCATTGGAGCTTCTAGAACAAGATGGAATCAATAATATTTTTTTTTCTATATAGGGACATAGGGACATCAAGTATTTTCGGACAATCCAATTTATGTAGAAATTGAAAACTCAGAAAATAAATTTGACCTGAACGCGTGCAATTGCACACGAGTGATTATTATAATAGTGATATGAAAAAGGACTTTGAGATGAAAAGTTGTTCCCACTTGAAGGAATATATCTAAATCTAATGAGATAATCCCTTGGCTATCATCAATTCAATTATCTGAAAGCGCATGAGGATTATGTATAAAGGACGTTGTCTGACATAGCTCGTCCATATCTACTTTTCGCCCCAGCGTCCCAGCGTCGATTCGCAACAATGTGCACATTTCAACTCATTTTTCAAATTCACAGGCAACTTTATTAATTATTCAACAAATTCATATCCTCTCTTTTCGTATTCTTTAATTATGTAAATTTGGAACTGTACTAATTTTACACAATTTCCTTTTTTCAATGAAGTAATTATATATGTAGACTCCACGTTTACATCCGCTTCATACAAAGACCTGTTTGATGATTTACTAATAAATCCTGGTGAAGTTTCTCGCAAGAAACTTTACTACGAACGTATAGTACACATTAGAAACTTCAACAAGTGAATTTGCACATCGACATAGAACTTGCTGAGAACAGCTTTGATGATAAACGCACATAATCACCATTTATTATTAATATACATAAAATTGCACGATAATGAATATTAATAACTGATGCGTAAGAAAGTTTGCATATTCACTGTTAAATTGTAGCCGTATGTATTTTAATTGGGCTGATCGCGTTGCACGTAAACTAGTCTTCACACCTGAGTATTTCGAAACTATGATTCATATGTATACAGATATATAAATATATATATATATATATATATATATATATATATATGAAGGAATCGGCATAACACGCTTCCGTGGTTTTAATATCATTAATTAATATCACAACGCAATTGTCATATGCTCGAGCATGTGGAATGAGGGAAGGCCAGTTAGTGGGGATTAATATAGCCGCTGGATATCTCTCTCACTTCATAAGTGCCAATTTTACCTCTGTACCTGCCCTATTTCAGTATTAGTGACAATCGTCTAGTTCATATGCATGAGATCAATATTTTCCATGATTTGATGATAGAATTTGCTCTTCGTAAAAATAACTTATTTCTCCCTGAAACGAAGGAAAAATATATTGACATATTGAAAGGTAAAGATTTAGTTGACCAAAATTAATAGTGATCGATCGCCACCTCATCACTTGGAAGTAGAAACTCAGGTGCATTGTTAAACTCAATTAGAGTACTAAGTCACTATCTACAGATGGATTTTAAAATTTCACGCTCCCTTTAAATTTTTCTATCTTTTTTCGTTCTTTACCTTGTAATTGTGTGCTGGGTTTTTTTCTTTTTTCATCCATCATAAGATCAAACTGCATCATCAACGATTTGTGGTATATCACATATCTGTCATGTATAGTATCCATACGCTCCTGTGGCGTTAGTAGCTAATCAATTGTGGTTTCTGAATTATTCAAAATCCTTTCACTATATTATAATTTAATGACGTACCATCCAACTCAATTAAATTTAGCTATTAATTAGGATTTGGAGAGAATGAAAAACTATATTTTGGGAGACGTTATTCATTAAAAAAAAAAAAACTACTCTTTCTCTAATAAATCGAATTCAATTTTAATAACGACTGCTCAATTCAAAATAGTTTACTTCAGATTGCTGAAAAAACGCCAGAAAGGAAGAAACGCTACAAAGAACCAGAGTGCACTAGGGGATTATCAATGTCAAGAGCAACAGAGAACAAGTCTAGGAAATGTCTTCCTCAGATCACCTTTAAATTGACCAACTTGACAGAAAATCTTTAAAATGAAATCTCACGGATGTTGGCTATGATTGCAAAATTGACGTAAATTTTTAAAAACTATGGATTTATATGATGTTTGACGAGAAAATGAGAAAATTATCACATTTTGAGGAAAAAAGAGAAAAAAAAATGGAAATACCTGCGGCATTCGATTACTATCGGTAAATTCAAAGAGTACTTACAAACGTCTCGAAGCCACGAAGAGAATTTAATTATAAATTTAGCCTCAAGGTTGCCCTCAAGACACTGGGCACATAGAATTTCCTGTGGGATACTGGGAAACCGAGCTCGATTGAATGCATCGTGTAGAAGCGACTGAAAACGACTGTGCAGATGATGAGAAAAAAAAATGAAATGAGAGTGATAAATTATGTAATTACAATATTGATAAAAGTAAGATTGACTGTGACCTAGAAATAGAGAGGGAGAGAGAGAAAAAGAGTGTGATTAACTTAAATCAGTCAGTCAGTTATCATGACAGACTATGAGAGAATACGAGTGGTGGTGCTTGGGGGTGCTGGTGTTGGAAAAAGCGCTATTCTTAGGAGGCTCCTTGGACAAGGATTTACAGAGAGATACCGACCCACCGTTGAGGATCTCTACTCCAGGGAATGCATACTGGGAACGCTTACACTCAAAGTAGATCTGTTGGACACTGCCGGTGAGAAAAAGTATTGATTGAATTTATAATAACGAGAGAGAGAGAGAGAAAATTTCTCTCCTCTTTCTAATTGTTTCTTCCTTGTGGACATGTTGAGTTCAATCCTCCGATAGTTGGATAGTTGATACGAATATCTTTATATTTTTAAACTAATTGGCCCAGGTGACCTTCAGTTTCCAGCAATGCGGAGACTCAGTATAGCAACGGCACACGCTTTTTTACTCGTCTATGCAACAACTTCTCTACCGAGTTTTGAATGTGTCAAGAGATGCTTTGAAGAAGTCCGAGAACAGCGCCCTGACTATCAGGTTTGTAATTTTGAGGAAACTTGACCAAGCAGATTTTACATTTTTTTTCTCATCTCTACTCATTTCTAGGAAGTGCCAATAGTAGTCGCTGGTAATAAAGTAGACTTGGCATTAGCACGAAGGGAAGTTGCAATAGAAGACGCAAGTGAATGGCTGTTTTGTCAACTGCCAAAGCTCAGGGCGAAAATAATGGAGTGTTCCGCTAAAGATGACTACAACATCAAAGAAATATTCAGATGTTTTGTGACACTGTCGAAAATTCAAAAGAATCCTACTGGGGAATTGGATGAGTCTGGCCTCAGGAGAAGATGCTCAGCGTACGGATCTAGAAGGTAACAAATATCGAGTATGGAAATGATCCATACTCGATGAATTATTCATTCAAATAATCATCTAACATCTTTTTATCTCTCTGCGGAAGTTCCGGAAGCCCAGGAGGAAAAGCAGGAAGCACGGCTGCTGGTAGCACTCAACAAGTTGTTGCAGCTCAAGGTACAAGTTTCATTGCAGTTGCTGAAGAAGTCAAGAGTAAACCACGCAGCAGAAGTCTCATAAGACGGGCATCACGAAAAACAAAACAGCAAATACGTGAAGCCCATACCGACGACTGCAATATATCCTAAACGAGCTATTTCCTTTTTAATCCATAAATAATGATTAGTGTTAAATTGAAAAGACATATTATTTTTATTGAATCCAAACATTTATCTGCATTTACGCACGGATAATTGTCTAGTATTAATATGGTGGATGGGCCCCGAGCGATAACAAGTGGATCGATCAAACCGTCAAGATAAATAGCTATTAATCTACATTTTATCTGGTTAACATTTTAATGTCCAAGGTTTCTACAGACAGGCCGAATTTTTTTCTTTTTTAAATCATGAGTAGATTTGAATTTCAACATTTTTCCGTCCCCAAAAATTGTGCCAAATCAATGACTTTCTTGTCTTGTTGAAAAATCAAAATTAAAACATTAGTATTTCTCTTACAAGATAATTATAATTTTTACTAGAATTTATTCTGGAATGAAATCTCACCATCTCTATTCAAAATACAAGCACTTTTGTCTTTTCGCACATTAAACTAAAAATCAATGAATTAACGTTTGAAAAGAGGGCACAAATTATTCGTAAATATTTTCCGAAAGATTGTAGTATTAGAAAATAAATTCTAGGATATTTGCAATATTTGAATATAAATAATCCCCGTGGTACCCGAGACCAAAAAGAAAGTGTTTACCATTTAATGAAATGAAGTTTAGATTTTAAGAAATGAAATGAAAGATAAAAATCATATTATTGTGATCCCTACTTATCCCTCAGGTAATGTGAGTGAGAGCAGTTCTGAGCTAGAAATTATTTCAATTTCAAAGCGTATTATTGAGCTAGATCCTTAATTTTCAATACATATCCTTAAGGAATAAATCGGTATGTCAGTATGTTGATGAATATGAAAAAATACAATTGACAAGAATGATTTAATTTGTAACATGTAACAAGAAAGACAATGAGTGATTTAATGATATGTCAATAAAAATGTTTTTAATTGTTAATATTTGTAATTCAATTTCTAATACAAACAATAATTTGATTTGAGCAATTTAAAAAATTCGGAGGATTGAAAATACCAATCACAAAAATCGTGTTCATCTCTCAGACTGAAATGAATGAACGAACGAATGAATTAATTCTCTCTTTCCGAGAACATTACGCGCATTTTTTCTATTATTTTCATGGTCTGAAATTTGCTGATAGTCTTCGGGAGGTGGGTTGAATGAGACAAAGCACCGTATTGATTTTTATCCGTTTTTCCCACATGTTTTTTTTTTATTCAATTTTTTTCGCCTATTCAGTGTACGACAGCCTGGGGATCGTGCTCTTCTGGCTGCGATGATAAAACATTTTACAGGCCACTGAATGCACTGATTGGAATATCCTCTTGTTTATTAAAATTCAGCCTTATTCTTCGATAACTCGTGGCTCTATTGACATTTAAATAAATAGATCGACGTATTTCTTAGGTGGTTTTTATCATCTTTATTATTTCATAATAAATTGTGGTATTTTACATTTCGCTTAAAAAACAATAATTATTTTTCTATTTTATGGATTCCTCTACATTATTATTTTTTTTTTCCCCCATTAAATTCCATAGTTTTGTGGAATGATAATTTGTTTGAAAGAAATTAAGCAATTTTATCACTGAAAATATTCCTATGGGTGAACGTTTTCAATCCAACAAACTATCGAATTTAATATCTCGATTCTCACCTTTATCCATTCTCCGAAATCTCGTTGATGGGACTAGTTTTGCGACGAAACAGTAGAAATGTTCGAGTTTAAATTGCCATCACAGCCATTGTTGATGCCGTGAAACAAATTTTCAAAGTGTTTTACGTATGCTTGACAATGCTCACCCCGTGTGAATGCTATTGTATTGTGAAGTCTCATATTGCGTTGCTCAAAGAATTTATATACAGAATGGAATAGCGTTGGATCATTCAGCGCTCTAGCTGCTTCAAGGAACTTGCGCGCAGATACCTGATCAATCATTCCAACAGATCGGACATACCTGTAAGTAATTGTCAAAAAGCATTGAAGCGGATGTGAATGGTAAAATGAAAAAACAAAACAAAAAGCAAAAAAAGAAACACATTAATAAGTAAACAATTTTTTACCTCAGTGCGGGTAAAATATGTCCTTTTGACAGAAGCACTTCAATAATCTCTTCATGTGCATTCCCAAGACGTTTCAACATATCCAAAGCCAATTGATGAGCAGCTGGATAGAGATTTTCCAGAGATAAAAGCAAACAGGCTAGAGGTTTCGAATCAGCAACCACATGATACTGCAGCAATTGATGTAGCTGGTAATATGCCTTACGTTGGACCAATGTTGTGATTACTAATTCGTGCAAATAATGTTGCACCGGAATGCCATGCTCTGTCAATGATCTAAAATCAATAATTGTTAGTCAATTCAAATTGCCATTCAACATACACCATAATATAATTGATACCTTATGTATTCTAGCAACACCCAAATGATCATTTTCGGTTCAATGATTTCACCAGATGAAAATTTTGAAAGAATATGAGAATATATATCACTCTGATCAATTAATGCCTTGAAAGCAAAATTTTCTGAAGAATTTGGCGGAGACTTTGGAACATTTTGCAATGGTGTACCCATCTGTCAATGAAAAAACATTTCAGTACAATATAAACATCAAATAATTCACGGCAATTGAGTCCTTAAATATGTATATATCATTACTTGACTCTGAATTTCATTCTCCAAATGATTTCTATAAATGTCATTCAATTTATCAAAAATAGCAGGCATGTCTCCAAGAGTTATCGGTAAATCATTGACATAATTTTGAAGCACTTGAAGTAAAATTTGTTTTGAATTTTTTCTCTGCAGTAAAAATTCCACCAATTGAACTTTGTCATCAATAAGTTGTACGAGACAGTCCAGTCGAAGTTGTATGTACCATAAACATCCTAATTTGGCATCAATCACGATATTTGGCTGAAAAACTACCCAATTGGGTGAATCTGAAATTTTTCTTTTAATACGAAAATATCAATTCATAAATTGTCCATGTAAATATAAAAATTTCAATGGAAATTATCAATTTATCGTAGGATACAGAGTTGACAGGGCTGAATCACTTGTTCCGACAATGTTGCACCTTGGACTTTGAGATTGTATGGCTTTATGGGTTTAGGTGCAGCCACGGCAGTGTGATGCATCACTGTACCATCAGAAACCCCAGCTAACATGATATCAAAAATCATTGAAGTCTGAAAATTATACCAATTGATGTTAATCATATTTTTATTTACATTATTATTATTTTTATCAATTTATCAATGTACCTTTGAAGCTTGATGATGGACAATTATTAAATTATCAACAACATTGATGGCGAACCTTCCGGTCATGTCTAGTTTGAGTATATGACTTTTTTTGATTGTCAACATTCTGCAATTGAAGGAAGGACATTATACATTATATCCGTAGAATTGGATTATATACTACACTTACTTGTGAACAGTATATACACAAACGTAGGCAGTTCCAACTGACTTATTGGCTCCATGCTGATGTCTCAAAACTATTATACAAGGAATTCCGTAGAGCACAGCCAGAGCAACATCCCTCTCGGAAACAGCTAGTTTTCCTGGTTTCGATGGCGTCACCTCCACTGAACAAAAAAACCATTTCTCATTGTAAAATTTTATGTCGGATGGGGGAAAAAAAACATTTTTTGTTTTTTTTTGTAATCAACTCACTCTCAAATTTCGTTATTTTGTTCAAATTCCCAGGGGTAACATGGAGTGCCTGCATCTGATTTCCAATCGTCCCAGAGGAAAGTAAAATCATATTACTTTGACAACAGTAAACGTACCAATTAACTCCTAAACTCAAAGATTTTAGAGCTTTCACACTTTTTTTTGCTGGATTTACCTGAAAATTTTTCGATTTTCTGATGAAGCAATTTTGTAAACAAATATATGCCAATATATACATGTATATATATATATATACCAGGAATAATTCCACTCCGTGATCTGTGATTACGAGAATTTCATTGCCATAGGTCCAAACAAATCCTTGAATCGAGGCATTCTTTCCTCTGCAGGTCTGTGAATATTCGACATTATCCAAAGCCAAGTTGGTCGAGTAATTGACGAATTCTACAGAAGTAGTGGTTCTCTGGATCGCAAGGATATTCATATTAGGTGAGAATTTGATGGATATAACAGGACCTTTGTCATCCATACGAAAGTTTAAATTACACTCGGGGCCTTTGACGAGGACTCCTGTCACTCCACCGGATCTCACAGCGAATACCTGTTGAGAAAACCTTTTACATGTTTTTTCTCAAAATTTCCAATTGAAATTCAATTAAATTCATAACCTGTTGTTTAGAGTCATCGAAGAAGACATTTGTAAGACTGCTAACAGATTCAAATTTTATCGGATCCTCAGATAACTCCAAGTAATAATCCTCCCCAGGCACTTGATTATTTCCCATTTTTGGTTTTTTCAACTCTTTTGACTAAAAAATCTATATAAAGAATAAAAAACAACAAACAAATTTCTGTCTGACATTTGACGATTCTCTCTCTCTCTCTCTTTCTTTATAAAATCATCAGCTGTTCTCTGTTGGTTCTTTTGGGGCTGATGTCCATTCGTGTCATTCTATTAATTGTTGTAACTCTGACAAGATGGCGCCACATGAATAGAAATTGCGCGATGAACGTCAATAGCTTTGACTCACACACACACATACACATGCGTTAATGTGTGTCGTATGCCTCAGAGAAAACAGAAGTGAGAGAATATGGGGAGTCAGTGGGTTACAGACCGTCCCTGTCGTCGGTCTATTCATTTACTATATAGTGTATAAATGTGTGTGTCCCAGAATTTTGACGGAACACAGAGGTCCTTCGTAGTCGGACACAAGAAAATGGCGGACAGTGCTACGGCGAAAGGGCAGGGACGTTCCAAGAGATGAGACTTGCTTTTGATCAGTATGTGATTTAACAATTACCAAAAATCTGTTAGATTGTTGAATTATTAATAAAATTACCCATTGATTGGGGGGGGGAGGAAATGAAGAAATTCATTGAATTTTCTCTGTATTTATGACCGCGTGGTGGTGGTTCCAATTCTTGTTTTATTTTTTTGTTTCATCAAGTGTGTAAAGGTGTTGGACTTGTGAGACTCGCTGGAGAGAATCAATCTAATATAATCTAATATAATTACACAATTTCTGAGTGTCTGTGAAATGTCAAGAATTGTTGGTGGCAAATAACCAAGTGGAAAAAAAAAATTACAGGTAAATTTAGTTTATTATTGTCATCTCTGCTATACTATCATTATTTTGAGTTTCATTATTCTTATATGGCAGGTAGTTTTTACTCTTTTATTATTCTCTTTTATGGATTAAGGGAGGTGAATAGAAGAACGAAAGAAAGAAAGGTAAGGGTTTTTAGGGAATCTTAAGGGCTTTGAGCTTTATATTACCTACATTCATTGATCAGGAGCGCCGACTCACATCAGCCACTTGTGGCCTTCTATGGAAGAATTTTTCTTCTGCTTTCTTCAGTCAGTGAGAGAATTGAAAAAGCCCAATTACCATTCGAGGAAGATGTTTTTCTCTCTCTCTCTCTCGCTCTCTCTCCCTCCCGTTACCTTTTTCGATTATTGTGTATTGTGTATTAAGAATATGGAGTAAACTCACTTGCAATTTTTCAAATTTTTCACAAAGCATAAAGTAATCATTCAAAATTGCTCTCGCAATGTAGAATCTTTTTCTCAGTTTGCAGAAACAATTTTGCTGGCTCTGGCAACGATATTGAAATCTGGCAATGGCAATCAGATAGTGGTAATTCATTGTATAGGATTAAACTTTTACCTAATTAACAATATTACCTATAATCAAAGATGTGAACTCCGGGCGATAGTCCTTTATAGTACGTATAATGAAGCCACAAAAGAAGGCTCTTGTTGGGCAAAAGGCGCCAAAGTCGCCATCGGTTACCGCCAACACACGTCGTCCATTAAATGATAAATCATCCATTGACGCGAAAAAAGATGTTAAAAAATTAAAAAGAATTGAGAAAACTGATGAACCCAAGAAAAAATTGGAATTGGACAAAAAGAAATTAGAGAGAAAGAAATTAATTGAGGAGGGGAAGAAAATGGATGATAGCAAGAAGAAAGAAAAATCTGAGAAACTTGATTCTAAGAAGTCATTGAGTCAATCACTCAAGGATATTGATAAGAAATGTGAAAGCATCGAAGAGAAAAAAATTGAAAAAATATTGGACAAGGTGGAAGAGCCCTGCTCAGATCCAACTTTGGTATCAGATAAAAGGAAAAATCTAAAATTGGAAGAGAAGCAACACGTGGAAAATAATAAAAAGAAAGCCGATAAAACCGAGGAGAAAAAAAGATTGACCAAGGGGGAAAGTCTTAATGAGCCTGAGCCAATAATATTGAATTCTCCATTGTCCGATGAATCTAAACTTGATGATAATAAAATCCAAGTTCCTCCAGTGGCAAAGAAAAAAATTAAAGAAGAAAAGAAGAAGGAATCTAAAGATATGAAGACCAATAGTTGGACCAAAGAAAAGAAATTAGAGAAAAAATCCTCGGAGGTTATAAAAAAAACTAAAGTAACTGTTGAAAGAAAAGCTTCTAAACCATCTCAGAAGAAGCCCTCAACTAAGAAAACAGTTGTAGCCAAAAAATCTCCATTAGCCAAGAAGCTGATTCAAAAGAAAATGAAACTAGTCAAAACAACGTCAATGAAGGAAGAAAATTCCTCCCCTACCCCTGCGGAAGACCATGAAATTGTTAATCCAAAGAAGAAGTGTCTTCTGGAAAAATCAAAAATTAACAGTGTGCAAAAGGTGAAATTAGCAAAACAATTGAAAGCAAAACTTGCCCCAACAAATGGAAAAATCAAAAACATGATAAAGAAGGAAAAGCTACGAAAGATAACAGAGAAAGTGGGTAAAAAGGGGGGGCTAGATATGAAAGAATTGGAGAAATTGTCAGAGTGTAAAAAAATGTTGAAAGAGGTGTCATCAATTAATGAAGGCTTGAAGGAGGAAATGGCGGAAAAGCACGATGAAGAAGAAAATTCAAAGTTAGCTACTAAATTAACGTCCAAGCAGAAATGTAAAAGGACTTTCCGAAAAACAGCGAAAACCCCTTTAAAATGTCTCGACGAAGAAGATCAAGTCTCTACCAAAGCCGAAAATGTTTCACCGAAGCACGAGATAATAGCGAAATCACCGGCATCGAATGTGAAAAATAGTGCCGATAATTCATCATCAGAAATAAATTTAAAAATTGAAGTAACGGCTAATACTGCTTCAAGCAGTGATAGCCCTCTTTCCTCAAGCGATTCTGATCACGACTATGTTGATTCTTCCCAACGACGGAAGAAGAAAAAAAATAAGAGCAAGGATGACGAGGAGGAGGGTCGTGAAAATTCGTCAAACGATGAACGAGCAAGACGCATGCGATTATTTGGATTCTGGAGTGGGCCGAAACGCCACCGTGTTGCATCGTTAAATGCACTGGCAAAGGTTCATTGTCTCTACGAAAATGAAGCAGGTGGCGTTTACCTTGGTGGTTTTTGTAAGCCAAAATCCGAGAAAGACAACAAATTAAAAAAAACACCAACTAAAGAGGAGAAGGAAGAATCCTTAGCACGAAAGGAAAAGGATAAGAAACCAGCAGGCCCCAATAACACATCCAAGAGAAACTTGAGGAATGTACCAGGTTTAAGAGGGAAACACTGGGACATGATGGAGTGCTCCTCTTCCTCCTCGTCATCATCGGAGGATGAGCCTGGTCAGAGTCAGAGGAATGAAAGAAACGTTAAACGTGGAAGAAAAAAAAATACACCGAGGAAAAAAAAGAGTGAGGAGGTGATGGATCTCAAGGATATGGTTGTTTGTAAGAGAATGGCTAGTTTAAATGCATCTGCTATATTAGCAGCTTCATATTCTGATGAGAAAAATAGACAGAGTAGTTCGGAGGATACAGAGAGTGAATCCAGTGAAGTGGAGATTATCAAGAGACGAAAGCAACTTGATAATGAAGGGGATAGGGATAATAAGAAAAAATCCCGACTGGTCAACAATGATGATGATGATGATGATGTACTCAAGACCGGAAAGAAGGTGGTTGTTCTTAATCAGGACACTGATGTTACCATTACTGGTGAGCTGATTTTCATTGTTCTATATATATGATATACGATAGGTAATTTTGATTGAATTTACCCTGGATCCCTCTCAATTCAGGTGTCTATGTTAATCAAACCCGATCAACTCACCACGAGGGTTTCTGCAGTATCGCCGGAATGCAATATAGGATCAGTTCGACTAGCCACACACAAACGGCTGCAACTGCTGTAGCTACTGAACTTCATGAACAAGTAATACGAGATAATGCCCCTATTGAAAAATTATTACATATATTTAATGACAATTGATAAATTCTTAATTACAACTTTAACATTATTTTAGAAAGTGGAACAGCCGTGTAAGTCTTACACACCCCTTGGAGCTCTATCCTCAATGCAACCACCTGGAAGTCAAGCAAATCATGCAGATATGTCACCTCGGAGACATTCGGCTTTCAGTGCTCCCCATCAGCATGGTAAGTTGATCATTTCATATTGCTAATTTCACATTATTACAAATTTTACAAATGCCAAACGTGACACTGGGTCACCTAGCCATGCTCATGCATTCATCCTAATTTGATTAATTTGCTACAAAAAAAAAATTCCTCTCTCTCTCTCTCTCTCTCTCTCTCTCTCTCACACACACACACACACACTTTTCCCCCCCCTCCCACAGTCCAATACATACGTCCCTGCGTCATCTGCGCGCGCACCCTTTCCATCGAAAAATTTGTCTCACTCCCTCCAACAGTGTCCAATCTGAATCTATCCATCTCTATTACGCTTCCACCACCGCCTGATGTACTAGAACAGTCAATTCATCCCCCATAGTAGAGGATATTCGAGCACATTTAAACTAAGGAATATACCCACATATACACACACCCTTGCCCAATAACGCTACGCCTGTACTTGTTACGCTATAACGTACACACAGACGCGTGTGTGTGTGCACATTATACATCTGTAGAAGGAAAGACAGCACACATACAGATGGTACACTGCTATACCATTCGCCTTTCCCCCCTCCCTCTTCTTTATGTAAACCGCGACGTGCTGGCTCAAACTACGCAGTCGAGCCATCATCACCACACACTGTAGAACGACGGTTGATGTTGATGGTCTAGTCGCGCTAGTTTTCCTCCTCAAGTCTAATGTGAAAGATACCAAGAACTATTGTTTATCACCTCCGAGTATCAAGTAAATCAGTGAATAATCAAACTCAATAAAAATAGTACAATTGAGTGAGATAATGGTAAAGTACTGCCAAGTAAACTGTTTAATCAACAAGGATCGTGTTTGGCTTCAACTAGTGTTGCACCCGCGCGCACCATTTCAACCAATTCACCGGTTCTGTTTTTTGTTTGTTTTTTTTTTAACATTAATGAGTTGACATTCTATATTCAGTCACAATAATTATTATTTCATTTTAAATACGGAATTAAGTGATGAACTTTACAATTATTTGCGTTTTGTCGTGTATTTAGTTTTTCATATTCCACCATTGATATTTGTTTAATCCATCTAAGAGGTGAACAAGTCAAAAGTTGGCGTGACTTCCTTCGTTTCCTCCAACAAGCATTTCCAAAATATATTACGCTATCCCAACACGTCAAACTTTTTACAAAGTACATATCAGCAGGATGCATAACTAGGCATGTCGTAGTGATTATTGACGTCATACGATGCCCTATCTCTCTCACTTGCCCAGAGGAGGTTGATGCTTGTGTGTAAACATGAAGACTCAAAAATGGACGAAATAACGGACAATCTTCAACACATACCTCAATTTGTCTGGTGATGTTTTAATAATTTAACAATATCGTCCAATCGATTTTCCATAAATTGATATAGACTGAGTCTCGGGAAAATGATATACAACAGCTATTGAATAATGATCAACAATAATGTTCAAAAAGTTTTAGTTGAAGGAGAGGAAAGATTCGATTGAAGGACGATTTGGAACTATATTTCTATAGCGATGGATCAAAATTCTATTGAATATTGACTGACGTCCAAATATCTGTACTTTCTGAGTCAATGTCTCATCAGGGGGATGAGGATATTCAATTTTACTGCCAATAGACTTGTTTTGGCATGCGTCTCACTGCGCACAATAATTATTCCATTGTCTCCTTGTTGATTTAGTATGCAAAAATTTCGTCATTTCTTTTTCATCCGTACGAGATTATTCTGCATAACTGTTATATACGCCTTAAAAATTTTCATGGATTTGCCACGTGCGGTAACGGTCACTTGACGGCCTTCCATATCGATCTTTTTCAGCGTAACCATATAACACCGGTGAGCATGGTCAAATTCTGAATCATCCAAATATCCATTGAAATAGAATTAGCGAGAAATAAAAACATTGAAAATTAAAAAATTTCTCAACTTGTCTACATCTTTATTACTAACTCGACAAATTAGATGAATAGACTTTTCTGCATTAGAATCGGCAGATCATTGCATATGAAAATCCCGTAAGATTTTTATGACTTTCTATGCCATATTGGTAAAAGTTGTGATATTCTATAATGGCGAATGTGCGCACTTTAATGCAGTATATTCAGTTGAGAACCGCTGACATGTCCCCCCTATTGCTGTTGTACTACGTCTCACTGTGTGTGATGCCACAGAAAGGTTTGTAAACCGAGCGTCTCTCGCCGTCTCGTCTCACGAGTTTTTTTTTTTTCCACTACTACCAAGTTTGAAAAGATTTGTCTGATCTGATACGTTGTTTTGAATAAGATAGTAGTGACTGGACAACTTTTTCCTCTTTTTACCCATTAGGAAATCATCAAATGTAAGAAGGCGGACGGTCTATCTAAGTTTTCATCTTCATCCATTCCTTTTTGCTAATTATTTTCGTAAGCGAAATCTCTATTGCATCACATGTTTCTCTTGAATCACACACGTCTATGATTCCATATTACAATAGAAATATAAGAAAAGTTATGAAGTTAAGAAGTTGAAGCAACAAATGACAAATTAATATCTATTTAATCCATCATAATTCCCAAGAGTAAGCGATATAAGTCAACACATTCGTCCATTTTCTCCTCTACTATTTCTCTTTGTTTTGCCGAGTTTCCACACTGTAGTGTGGACTGGTGAACACCAGCAGCTCAGCGTGTGCTATCTCATAATCAGATAAGTGAAAACGTTCGTATAGCTACAGTACCAAGTAGCTGAAACGTTAAGACTGAGAGGAAGTCACTCACTCTCCATGAAGTAATCTAGTAATGCTCATCCGATTTATTGATCAGACATTCCATGTTCTTTTCATATTCAACTCGCAATAACTTTTTTTCTTCATGCGCTATCGTTTCTCGTTCATATGAGCTAGACCTAGATTAGAAAACTAAAAAATCTCTCCCGAATTTCAGGAAGAAATAGTGATAATGGGAGCATCTGTTCATACAAATTGTTCAATTATTTTTTTCTGCGAATTAGTCGATGAGTATATGGCCGCCTCACACGTGTTCGTTTTCTCACCAAGGTCATCAGAATCCCAAGACTGGTGTATTTACTAAACGGAAAGTTGATCTTTTTGTATTCTTTTCTCTCGATTTAAATGAAGCTACAGATGAATTATTAAGAGTCCTAGAACTAACTACTTGAATAAGTTGAATAGTTTGACATTATATGGAGCTGCAAGATTTTATGATTCTTGATATGAATTATATCTTGTAAAATATGGGAAACTAGCGAAAATAATGAAAAAATATGAGGAGGCATCGGGATATGTGCCAATGGTGGTGGGATAAGAAAAGGAGAAGAAGAGGAAGAAAGAGAAAAAGAGTAAGACCGCCGCAAGAAGGCGATACAAGGCGAAAGGTTTTCGGTTGTTATTTAGCAGCTGTGTAGCAGCAGGAATAGGCAGATGCTTCGTGAAAACATCTTTAGGACCTACAGCCGGCCTCCGCTTGTTAGTCTCTTAGTCTCTCGAGTTAAAAAGTAAAGGATATCCGAGGACTTTTTCTACCTCCACCTAAAATTGAGGAGAGGAAATGTCGGAAGGTATTAGAAATTAAAAGGGACGTAGGTATTCTTACGAAGAAGAAATAAAAAGACAGATAGTAGTCAAACTGTAACTTATGTAATCTTAAGAACCGCAAAATTATTTTTTCTCAAGAGTATAGAAATTTCAGTCCAACTAATACGGCAAAGGCACGACAATAGTGACAGATGGTTTTCTTCCCATTTCCAGTTTGATTTTATAATGTTCAGGTGTTTACGCTTGACATTTTCAAGATTCGGTAGAGGAAGCTTCCAACCTTGATTGCGTGAATTCTTCTTCGGTGCTTTATACTCTATTCGTAGTACCTGTCGTCCACTATTCAATAGAAAAATTCTCGCTAGTTTATTATGGAGAATCGATGTTTGGGAGATGATCTACTTTGTAGAATGGGAAAAGGTGCACGCGAGGATAGGATTTCATGTAGTTGTTGATCCATGTGCGCATGTTCTAATTTTCAAGTAAAACTTTCTCTAGGCGTACTGTCGGTCCTACCTATGATAATTTTCCTTTTCATATAGGTCGTTTCAATAATTTTTTTCTTGCAATTGGATAGTTCTCTTCTCTCAAATTCATAAGTATATTCAGGATTTGAAGGGAGAAACCGACAATACTCACTCTCTGGTCAAGGTTCATGAGGCTCACCTTGAGAAATACTCGAGACAATGTTCTTGGCCCATATAGCCCTCATGGGATTTACTGGTACTTCATTTTTGTCATTAATCTAGCTATAAATTTCAATTCTCATCACATGGAATATGCTCCACATGAATCCCTGAAGCAAGAAAAAAACATGAAACTCCAATCCTCATCATTACTCTAAACTTGCAACTGTTATAAGTATAATGATGTTGGGATAGAGAAGAGCACGTAGTACTGTCCGAAGTAGACGCACAAATAAGTACAGACACATACAGGTGTCATACTCTATGCAGTCGCCTGGGACTAATAACGTTGTTGGTGTATTGGTGACGTCTCGCATAGCGGCACGACCTTGCCCGGTTGCGCTCCTGGCCGAATGACACGACTTTTCTCGCATGTAGCCGGCCCTCTCTAGTTGATTTTTCCATTTAATAAAATCACATCACACAGTACTCAGACAATATCGAAATTACAATAGACAAACTAGTTGGCAATGTAAAAAATCAAATGAGTAAATAGAAGAAGGTAGAAAGGAAGGAAAGAAAGAAAGAAAGAAAAATGAACTTACTAAATAGACATGTTGATTGCAGTGTATGGCGCAGTATATGTTGTCTACATCGCGCAATAGCACAAATGAAGAAAAGAGGGGAACAAACTGGCTGGTCAACACTAGTCAGCGCATGTACTACTAGTGCTAGTCAAAAGTCAGTAGTGAGTGCCAGTGCCAGTTCGACACTCGTATCGTCTCGTTTCTTCCCCTCGTTCGAAATGTACATACATATGTATTATATCAAAGAGGCTATGACACATTTGTGTGGGTTATTCGTGCGAGTGATATGCGGTGTATATATACATACAGTCCAGTTAAATAACATAAAATGGCGAAAGAAGTGGGGGAAGAAAGAGTAGTGTTGTTACTATACTATACTCAGAGCGTCTTGGGATTGGACATTGGAATTGGGATCCCGGTACACAGTTGAATCGCAAGTTTCGTAGTTGGCGCGTGTGTTTCATCCTGCACATCTACGCTCTACTCTGTCGTTGATAAACCGTTGTCTCTCTTCTCTCCTTCCTCCTCACTCATGGCGTGCACGAGCTTTTGACGTAACTCAAATATTAAATTTGCATGGACAGTGCTTCCAGGTGTTAATTCTGAAAGTGAGAGTATATCCTCTAAACTGCAAGTGTGTTCATTTCTCAACAATTTTGGCTTGTGTCAGTTGTGGAAAAAAGGACAAGACAAAAATATCAAGAAGGGAAAAGTTTGTTGGATTGTAGTGAGAGGAGCCGGGGATGTGGTATTTTTTTTCTTTTCTTCCAAGCCAGGTTTCGAATCTACATTCCATGTGTATCATTGGGTTAAGGAAATAGTTTCAATTGGGCCATACAAATTTGTTCATTCAAGGTTGACTGTTTATTTGCCGAGTCACATCGACTGAATTTACTTATTTTGTTCTTTTGTAGAAAAATTTAATCAGGGTTTTCAATGAAATACCAATCGAGGCCAGAATCTAATAATAATAATAATAATAATAATAATAATAGGGAGTGAAATCGATTGAGAGAATCGCTAAATCAATTGGTAAAGGCAGTGCGTGAGTTTGCCGAGGGGCCTTTCTCTCTTTTCTCTCTTTCATTATGGAGTTGTCTACAATTTTCAAAGCTAAATGTTATCGTATCGAATCAACAGGTGGAAAATCTCACGTCTCTCTGGACAATAATTCGACTGAGCTGTTCAAGTCTAAAAACCATAACTGCCTAGAGACAATGATGAAAATGATACACAACGTGCATTGATTTTATCTCATTTGTCGGTTTCCTCAAAATTATTTCATAAAAATAAACACTGGTATATTTTCTTTATGGTGGAAAGTAAGTAAATGTGTAATCGGTGCAACATTTCTCATGATGATTCTAATTTTTTATTCATATCAAACTCCGTTAAAATGCAATATATGTCGTAGTACTCTCTCGTCAACCCAGTCAATTCAGTAGGATATACGGTGAGATGGTAGCGCTCAAGTTTTTTTTTCTTTTTTATCATAAAACTGATAAGCCTTCACCCTACGCTCTGCAAAATGCCGAATGAGTCACGTTTCCGGTCTATTCGGGTCCCGGTGTGAAGGTTTGATACTCACCATGTACTATATATGAGTAAATGCACGCATCAAACCTATACGTATATCATGGTATAGGCTAGATTATAGGGATGCTATAAAAACGTTCAGCGATGAAAAATAAAAATACAGGGAAAAAGCAATTTTCAAGTATCCGAACCACGTACTCAAGCGATCTAGACACGACGTGCTCTCAAATCACGACTCCTCCCGAAAGCGATCGACTCCTGCAGAGCTACCAGAGAATCGTTGACTTTCTTTATTACGTCTCGTCTTGGGCGCCACTATTTGCCGTGTCCCTCCTTCACTGTTTTTTTTCTCCTTTCTCACCTCACACGTCTTTCGTTTTTTTGTTTATTTACCACTCTCGTTGCCGTCAATCTCCTCGTTTTTTATTGACTTTTTGTTCATTCATTTTGGGCATAGAGAATGACCACTCATTTTTTTTACCGCGGGAATGTCAAAAATAAGGTGGAAGATCAATAATATGTGAGTTGGGAGAGAGTTGCGAATATCTCAATTAGCAGATGAAGTTCCAACCGTTACTATGATCAGTACGGAGGGAGGTATTATTATCTTGTCCATTCGAAAATCTCCAATGCCTTCAGCCAGTTAGCCTTTCGTATGACTAGAAGGAACCTCCATGTTGATTGAGAATGATTTATAGGGTTCTATCAGGCATCTATGAAGAAAACATTAATGACTGTTAAACACAAACTGCGCCTCAACTCTCCATGAAGTGTTATAGCGAAGGTGGGCGGGAGGGAAGGGATTCGGATCTCAATAGTAACAGATTTAAAGAATAATAAATTTTTGAATTTGTGTATCGTTAGAAGATGGAAATTGAATAGAAAATATTAAAAGCGGATTCTGTAATTTCAATAGACCATGGAAAATGAATTAATGTATAGGCCATCAGTTTATTGATTTTTCATTATTTTTCAAAGCAATAAAGAAAGAAAATAATATTTTCCATTCAATTTCCATATTTCATAGTTCTATGAGAAAAAAAAATGACATGCAACAATTCAATTATGCCAATATAAACCTAACGTTTGTTTTGGAACATCTGCTTTCTTCCCTATTCAGATAAGTGATTGAGAAGCCGCAGAATTTAGAGTTATCTAATCGTGAAATTGAAGAAAAATAACAAAATTTGATCTGCATCGAAAGTGATAATAATTTTCATTGTGATGGTATCGTGTGAAGTACAAGTGGGAGATGCCAAAAAAATGACAAAGAGCCGTTGCAAAATATGTGAATTACTTGGTGAAAGTGAGATAACTCGTGAACATGGCTTGAGTGATCCATGTCATTTGTCCTCCCTTCAGCAGTTGAACCATTTTGGCTTGAGTTACGTACCAAATTCAAATATTGACTACGCCAACCATGGTCTACTCAATGGAATCTATCTACCGCAGCTCAAGGACATGATGCTGGCGGCTTATTTACTGAGAGGTAAAATTTCATTATGTCAAATGTTAAGCAACTATTTAACTGAGAATTTAAAATTGCTCAGGGAAAGAAAAAGTTTTCATTCGTTAAATAAATAAGAGTAATAGTAATTAATAAAGTCAACTGTTCTGAAACCGATTTTCATGCACCTTTTAGCAAGCCCCCCTTCACTAAGTAGAAAAAAAAGCGATTTCTTGAATAGAAAAAAACAATTGGCTATTGATACTCAGTGTATTTGATTGTCAACTCGCTTGAAAGTTACTTAGTTTCTGCAGCAGCATCATTATTATATATGGAATTTACCAATCCTGGCCTAGGAAAATGAAGATTTCCGGGCGTTTATTCAACCTTGTGTGCAAATTACTTGCGATAGAGAGAGAGAGAGAGAGAGGGAGAGAGCGAGAGATAGAGGAAAAAGAGACCGGAGGCTAGATCGGGCGATTAATTGGTCGATGAGGTGAGGTGGGAGATAGGTGGAGGAGAGTCCTAAAGCCTGGATAAATTGCATTCCCCTTATAGACTGTGTAGTCTTTGTATGTACACATTGGTAATTTCTCAAATAGCACCTACCCAGTTGGCATTTCACTATAGAGAAAGTAGAAGAGAAACACACAAACGAGAAACTTGAGAACCCCACCATTTCAATTGACACTGGTCTCTCTGGTACTTGTGCCTACCTAACACTGAGGATATTAATCTTACAAATAATAACCAAAATCATTTTCATAAAAATAAGTAAATTGTTATTCGACCATATTTGTGTCGACACACGAACATGACTATTCTCTCATCAACTTGTCGTTAGTAAAGACAAATCAGTATCAGTTGTAATGTGCCTTGACCTTGCGTATTTTCTCTCTCCCTCTTGCTCAAAATAGAGTTTATATTTATAGTCTTTGAACACCTCAACTACCATCTTTTCTCAGTGTAAGAGTTTTCCAGACTGACTTTTTTGAAAAACAAAGCACTCAATGAGACTTTAGACTGATATTATTAAGCATTGGTTGCCATATTGTCGTTTCAACGTGGCACAGGGATTACGGGGCATGTACGGATCTTGAACGATGATTGAGGTTACTCGGTTGCCGGCCGACGCCAATACATAGTGCAAAGCAGGTCGCCACATTATTCTCCTTACCTCCTCAGAGAACAAGATATTATTATAAATACTACCACCATTTCATATGTTTTCCCATTAAATTCCATTGCCTCTAAAAATTCACAAATCATTGCATATATCATAACATGTAGCAACGTATAGCCATAAGTTTTACGTGACATTGTTGCGAATTTAAATTGTCTCTCTGGTGAACTTCCGGCTTTGATTAATATATTTAAAGCTTATTTAAAATTCCACTTTGGATCAAGTGGAAGTACATATCGAGGGCTGCACGTTTCAAACCGGGATCGTCGACGGATATACCAAAGTGGGGCAACACGACGAGAAGAAGCTAAATCTAAACCAACGGAAAATCAACTTTTACCCTTGCATATCTCTTTCCATCTTAATTCTCATGTAATCTCTCTGTCATATTAGCAAATGAAAAGGAAAAAAATCAATCAATGGTAAAAATACAAATGTCCAATTGGTGGAATTCAAAGTTATAAAGCATAATGATCGGTTTCCATTGTGTTTGACTGTTATTTCTGGTTATGTATATATGATGATAGCCCTGTGCATGAGTCCGCGTCGATCGAACACTCTTATAAACCCGAGGGTCTTTGACTCCTCCATCGGCGCGAGAGCCAGCTACTGTATAGTGCCACCTTTGCAAGGTAATAATAAGTACATACACTCTCCTCACTGACCCGATGAGCGGAAGCGCATAAAAGAGAAAGAGAAAAAGGGAGGAGTCCCGTCGATTTATTGAATATCATCGGGAATTAGAATCAACTATTGGTCATATAAATTGATTGAAAATTTGAATTTTTTTTTTGTTATGATATTGAGAACAATATAGGGTTGATGGTGGCTGTATTGCAAAAAGGCGATTCAACGAGAGGTAAAAGCTGATGGCCACACGTAGGCTGTTCGGGTCTTGAATATATATTAAAAGAAAACCAATTCCATTCCTTTCACACATCATACTCTACTAGCACACAGGTAGCACATACAGTACACTCAATATAAACCATTGACTAAGGGAAATTTTGGTGGTTGGTTGTTACCAGTTGTGGATTATTCTCAATGACAAACTTGACTCGTAAATTATATATTCCAGGATACTATCAGCCGGCTGGTCCACTAATCCAACATCCTCCCACGTTGCCTCCGGTCAAAGCACCACCGCCAGAGCCAACACCCACGCCACCCCAAAATTCAGAAGGCTCGGACGATCTCATTGCAACGTCAACTACTTCTGGTGGAGCCAACACGACAGGTAATACATGACTTTTTCAGCGATTTATCCGTTATTATAGTACAATAAATATGATAATGACGTTATTTTTATTTATTTATTTATTTTTTTTGCCGGCAAACAGCAGCCGGTGGATTCTATCGTGCCTACTGTCCTCAATATTACGGCACACCTCCGCAGTACCAGGAACTCTGTTATCCACCGACATATCCGCATCCGCATTCACATCCACCACCTTACTACAAGTACGCGCCAGCATATAGAAGGTAATTAATTGTAATTGATGAATACAATTTCCAACAGACACTTGATGTTGATGTTGATGTTGATATTTCAGGCAATACTTTGGCTACCCTGATTCTGGTGGTGCTGCAGGTGGTGGCGGTGGTGGCGGTGGGGGTTCAGCAGCAACTTCAGCCGTTGAGTATCAACCCCCACCTTTGCCTCCTCCAGGCGACTATCCGATGCCTCCATACTACAGCGCCTATCCTCCTCCACCACCACCTCCTCCTCCTCCCCCCAATCCTGCATACCTTCATGCCCAAGGTCGTCCGATAGTTGAGCACCCAACATTTCAGGGCTGCCCATGCCCGATGCAATCATGTCCAAAAAACGTGGATACTGGACCCCTTATTGGTAATGGTAAGGGGGCGCCAGTGGCATCTGGGCCAGGTCTGTCATTGCCACCCAGTGCATTGGTAGGTCCACCATCTCCAGCGAGGGGACTTGCTGGCTTAGCCCCACCACACGGCGCCAATGCATGGGATACAGATCGTGTCCAACTAAACACGCATCGCAACCTAAATCAAAACCAATCAAATTCTATTTCAAAAAATTTGAAAATTCAACATCACGATGAATGCAACAAAGAGGATAAAGATAAAAAGGAGGAAGGAAAAGAGGATAAAAATTATCAGAGATGCTTGTGTCAAAAACGTGTTTGTACTTGCACTTTTGAAGTGGTGAAAAAGGAAAAATTATTACCATCTGAAGAAGTTACATTGCAAACAACTAATTTATCAGAGAATCTTCACGGCGTCAAACTTGAAAACAACAATGTTAAGTGTGAGTCCTGTAGTGTTGGTGTAAACAAAAATTTATCTTGTACAGCAAACTGTAATGTTGAATGTGAGAATGATTACAAATGTGATATCATTAAGTGCGAACAGTGTATTAAAGAGGGACAAATAGCAATACTTGAAATTGATAAAGACTCGGGAATTCTCCTGATTGACGATAAACTAGATGAAAATTGTGTTAAAGAGGAAATTACTGATCGTGTTGGAGTTGAGAATGACAAATGGGAAAAGCCGGATTATGAGGCGACTGTTGTTAATGAATCAGTTGGCGATGAGGCGGCGGCGGCGGCGGCGGAGAGGAAGATTATTACTCAAGAATCAAAGTGCCAGAAATTGACCAAGAGAAAATTGTCATTAGACAGTTTATCTGATAGTTCGAAAAATAAAAAAGTGGATAAGAGAACACTCTCAGTGGGATCAACAAGAGATAATCAACAACAAGACAAACTCCTCAATCCTATGAATGATAGATATGTTAACGTCAAAGTTACAGTGAAAAAGAAGAACAATCAAGTGAAGAGAAAAGCTGAAGAGATTAATCCGTTAGAGACAAACAGCAAAAAGATTAAGGGAAAACAAAATGCTACTCTAAATTGTTTGAAAAAGGCTGCTAGCGAGAGTTCCATTATGGAGACCATTGATAATGTCATTCAACAGAGCCTTCAGATGGCCAATAAGAAGAATCTTAAAGTGAAGAGTAAGGAAACTGGGGGAGGAGCGACCAAGAGAAAAACGGTCAACATTCTGTCGATGATAAAAAAAGTTCCCAAGGCAATAGTCAAGGCTGTTGTCAATGATGAAATTAGCCTCAAGACTGAGATAAAGTCCACAAAGGATATGAAGAATAATAAAATTGAATCAAAGATTAAAGATGTTAAAACCAAGAATTTGGAGAATAAGAGTAAAATTGGCAAAATTAATAATAAAATTCATCAACTCAGCAAAGGGAATGAATGTAAAAAAGTCGATGAAATGTGTGAGGATATTAAGAAAAATGTAACTGCCTTACCCAAGAAGAGGAAGAATAATAATAATATTAATAATAATAATAATAATAATAATAATAATAGTTATAATAAAAGTACAAAAAAAGCAGGAAGCTGCAAGAAATTAGGCAAGACTGAAGAGAATATTGTTGCTAGTGAGAATAGTATTCTCGTTAGGAGGCCATTTCTTAAACCCAAGTGGAGTAATGGATGGAGCTGGGATGGAGAGTCGTACGAGGCCAAAGTTTATTTAACAGTGAGTTTTTTTTTTTTTTTCTAATAATTTATTGAAATTACAAGAAAACAGAAAGTTACAGCCAATTGGAGAAATTAGTAGCCACTAATTCAGCGCACAATTTTGAATTACAGAATGAGGAATCAGCAATGCGAAGATGTTACGCAGCGATGAAACACGTAAGCGGTGACGTGTTACGACCAAGAGATTGCGTACTCTTGAAGAGTGGTCCACGGAAGGCTGACTTACCATTTGTTGCAAAAATTGCAGCACTTTGGGAAAATCCTGATGATGGTAAGAGTTGTATTTTCATCTTATTTCAATCAAGATGATGCAAATATATATATTTACCGTTGCTATCTTTGTTCCCAGGAGAAATGATGTTCTCATTACTTTGGTACTATCGGCCAGAACATACTGAACAGGGTCGGACAGATTACGACACTGAGGACGAGGTATTTGCTTCCCGTCATCGCGATGCCAACAGTGTTGCTTGTATAGAGGATAAATGTTATATTCTTACATTCAACGAGTATTGTCGGTACGTCAATTATTTAATAAAAATCTTATAATCAATAGTCGATAATAATAATAATTTCCTCGTTTTTTTTTTTGTTTTTCATCTTGTTTTAGATATCGCAAGGATTTACGGAGAATGGAGGAAGGCTTAGAGTCTCCGGGTCTCATAGTACCTCCAGGGGACCATCGATATCCCCGAAAATCCCGACAGCCCCCAATTCCAGTTCCCTCAGACATGGTACTCTTTTGTCGACGAGTTTACGACTATCGTGGAAAAAAACTCGTCAAAAATCCTGGATGACTTGACACTGTTTAACTTAGGCTGAGAATGGGAATCAATGAGGAAGATGAGCACAAAAAATGAAAATGACAAAAATCAGAGGGAAATAAGATACAAGTGTTGGATGATAACTGAAAAATTTTCTCTTCAAATTTTATAGAAGAGAATGAGAACGAGTATGATTGAAAAACATTTTTCTTGACCATGAAAAACCAATTGAATGGAAATAACTCGAAATGAATGAATAATCAAATAATGTTGAACCTACTTTTTCAGCCGAATTTATATTTTATAGAAGAGATAACTCATATTTTTTGCATAGTAGGTAAAAACAGTAGAAACTAAATGAAAAAAAAAAAAAAAGAGTTGAAAAAGAACTTGTTCTTCAACAAAGTGACAATAGAATCTTTCCTGTTTGAAGAGAAAATTTGATAGTTGATGAGAATCCAAAAAAATGAAGGAAAAGGAAGAACAATAAGAAATAAAATTCAAAAATTGAAACTTGACCATTTTAGTATTGAAAAAGTGATGATACCATTTAAAAAAAAATTGACACGAATAGATTTTCAATCATGGCATAGGCACTGGGCATACTTGATGTGTGATAAACATTCATTTTTCCTCTACAATTAAATATTGCGCAACGAGAAACAAATTTTAAAAATTGCATCTTTCAATATTTTGTTTGCCCATTTTATGATTAATTTTTGGTGAAAATTCGTCTCTCAGGCCTCCATCGTACTCGATCATCAATAGGAATAGGTAATGGTTGTTGAAGATAATATTTGCGCCAACTCAATTTCATTTTCTAGTGGTGTGGAAATAATCGATTTTTATACCAATAGTAGCAATATCTACATTTTTCGTTCATCTTCTAGAATTCTTTTGTTTTTTCCAAAAGCGCTATATTTTATCATAGAATGGTGATGAGGAGCTATGGAATCGCGTTTTTAATGAGTGAGGGTGAATTATTAATATGTGGATTATGGTTGAAAGCAATTGGAGACAAGGTCTCTTCTATTAGCATAAAAATGAAGTTATCTTAGCACTCAAAAGGTAATGAATGATAACAGTGGCAGCATTTTGCTTCCTCACCATCTCGTTATCTGAGATGTATTTCCCAAAAACTAGAGAAAGAATACATAATTTAACCTAGAGTCCTGATTTCATTCGACTTTGAAATTTCATTCAAATGCGCTGAAAATTGCTATAACCCCTGCGTCATATTTTATACTTTTTTTTTTCGACAGAAAAATTACGTATTTTCTACGTATCCTTTCTCGCACGATGGAGAAAAATAGAAAATTAAACTTTTTTTTATATATACATATATACACATGTTTCGAAATAGATCTATTCATATATACTTTTTTTTTATTAAGTGGGTGTTCATTTGTTGAAAAATTTATATTATTTAAATTAATATATTGCCATTATGATTGGTTATCTAATATATGAACTTTAGATGCTAAGTTTTTTTCTCTGGAGATGTGTGCGAAAATGAATGGAGAAAATTTTAATGAAAATTTTAAAAAACTACCTTAAGGGAATGAAACTGAGTGAAAAAAATTGCAGATGATCGTTGGTCAATCTCCTCATTCACAAATACCAAAACATTCTTTTTAATGAAAAAGTAAATTTCTTTTGGAAGCATCTTATCACGATTTTTACATTATATTAATTTATTAATTTATAGCATCATTATTTTCTAAGTTGATTAAAAATCCATCCAAGTTGTATCATTGTGTAATGTACAATTATTCACGTTATTCATCTTTGAAAAGAAAAACAATGCTGACGAAATTTAGTGAGTAAACAGGAGAAGAGAATTGAAAAACTATCTAATGTCTTTTATTTATTATTCATATTTATATTTCTCCAACAATAAAATTTCATTTTTTTCCATTGATTCCAATAAATGTATTGTACAAATGTTTAATGAATAAATGATATCGATGAATACTTATTCTCGAGTTCCATTTAGCGTCATTCACGAGAGCAGAAGAAGAAGAAGAAGGTGCATACTCCATCTAAATTTCCAACTGTCGGACAACATGTGGCATAATGGAGTGACGGAGACTTGTTTTGAATATTATATCATTCAGCATATAATTGTGGATTATAGAAGACTATAATTACCCATGCCTTCCTTCCATCACACTCCATAATTCAATCGTTTCGTGCAAAAAAAAGGAAGATGTTTAACTCCCATTAGCTCAACTTGTTATTCTACTCCTGAATACTTGGCGAATTCGAAATTATAAAAAAAAAAAAAAAATCAGTCCCCTCCACCGGAGAAACTTTCATATGACTGCCCAAGACGCGATCTGCTTTATTGCGCTGTCACAATTCGGACAACATGTTGAAAATATCCAAGTGCCAATTAAAGAGAAATGAGTGAAAATCATACACCTACAATGTCATGAATTTTTAAAATTGGGCAAACCGAACAAATGGGGTGAAAAAGAATAACATACTCATACAAGAGAGATCATTTCTACACTGCATCTACGGAGACGACTATGTATTACACATAGCAACATATATTTACATCATTTGATTGAAATAAAGGTAAACAGAGAAACTGTTGGATGATAACATTTCCCCATATTTTTTTTCGTATGTGTTGGATACAGGACCCAAGCGATATGCAATACTCATATTGAGAGACTCCAACCAATGCTATTTATGAAAACAAGCACGAGAATCATTATCAAAGAGGATTCATTTGCATTTATTTCCCCATCAGTCGTTATGTTATTACGGATGTTTATCGCTATGGGTATCAAGCATAATATTGTAAATAGGAATGGAATGGGCTATCCCTGTGTGTCACTACGTTACTATATCATGTATTTGACACACAACAATATATATCTACGATTAAAAATTATGCAACCTTCGTAGGGACTGGGAGCGATTGACATGTGAGGCAAATTCGAAATTAGTACCGCATGTAGGACTAGAGAAGGCAAAATTATTGCCGTGCGCAAAGGAAAATTTGTGTGTGAAATATAAAGTTCATTATCATATTTGGTAACATCCCATTGTTCAATTTTCGATTAATTAGTCATTTCAAGTATGTTAGTTTATGAAATGTTACAAAGGCTTGGAATATGAGAAAATCTCCACTCAAAATCAATAATCATCAAATGGAATGCCCGAATATTCGAATAGAATCACTCACAAATTTTTCCAATGCCCTGTAATATTGTGAAATAGACATAAGAAAAACAAGAAAAAAAAGTTTAATAAATAATTTGATGAAATCCAGTGTTGGATTTATTTGCCGGAAGTGTAGAAAATGCGTTATTGGAGCAGTTGAAAGGCAGAGCAAGGGGAGAAATGTGATTTAGTTGAAAGGCGGTCGGTCAAGCCTTTGATCGACGCTTTCAAAAGTTTGTAATGCTGAGAGCTTCGAAGGTAATGCTTAATCCAAGCGTCAGGCGCACTATCACGCCCCAAACCCGTGCCTCAAGCTGATACCTGCAGATTACACAAATTCATCCGACCAATGAATAACAAAATGTGCCTAGATATATGTATATGTTTTTTTACTCCGGAAGTCATTGTCATTATCCCCCGTGTCTCAAGGAGACTTGGGTGGAACCGCTGAAATCAGTTTCTCTCGATATATCAAGTATAATATTCCTCAGTATTATTGAGCTAGTTTAGTTATCCCCCCCCTTAAAATGACTATTATTTCCTCAGTCTTGAGACATTTTCTGTATATGGGTCCCAGGTAATTTGAACCTTCACATTTCCTTTTTTCTCCTTCTCCCTATATCCCAGTCCTTCCACTCGGCTCTTTTGTCCCCTCATACCCGCCTGCCAATTCTAAGAGAAACGAGGCGCCTCGCAATAACACGGTTTGTGAAAGATTCACCAGTTTAAACTTCTCCCTGTTGCTTTGTTTCTGAAACCCAAACGACCACTATCTCAGCTCCACCACCGGCTTTTTAACTCTATATACAATCAAGTGCCGGTTCTTTGCGTGTCGATTATGGGCGGTTACTTAGCAAATCGCCAATTATCTTGGATAATTTGCAAAATATACTTTGAATACTTAATTATAATATGGAGGAAAGGATTAATCAATTTATGTAAAGGGGAATGATTTATTTTCTCAACATTTAAAAGAGAAAAAAAAAGAATAATTATTTGAAAAAAAATCATCATTCTCATAGTTAAACATCTCAAAAGTGCGCGTTGGCGCGCAGCATCCCTCGTGATGATCTTTCCGACTAAACTAAAATGCGTGTGTACCGAACCAACAACAGGGGGAAGGGGAAACGCAACTCAACTCCCTACAGTCTCCGGATTGGCGCTCGTGTTACGGACGGTAGGGGAGTCGAGCTTTCAGGGAGGGACTTTGACTTGGACGTGCACCGTGACCGCCGCTCAGTTAGTGGCAGTCCGTCACTACGATAGGAGTGTTGCGTATTATAATATCGATTTACCAATTGGGCAAGTTTTATATTTTGTCGATAAGTCAACGAAATGAACGACCAATTCAAATCAATTATGTAAAAAAAAAAGTAAACAAAAATAATAGAATAAAGCCTCTGCAAAAAGTGTCAGTGACGAAAGAGTGCAGAATAGCCAAAAATTTGAGTGAATCTTTTTTTCTATTTATAATAATGTGATCTCCGAAAATACTCGATTCGATGGCAGAATAAAAGAAAAATATAAAGAGAAGGAAAGCATTGGAATTTTTTCCCAAAAAGAGAGAAAAAAAATTCAACAGTTAAAATGCCCTCAAATGTTGATAGAAAGATGTATTGGCACCTGGCACTATTTCTGATTGTTTGGATAAAAACGGCGGCAGGTGGTAGCGAGATTTATGCTAAAATGTTTTCGAGTCAACAAATACCTTCAGATCCGTGTTATGATGAGGATCGTCCACGTCGGTGCATTCCGGACTTTGTGAATGCTGCGTTTGGAGCAACGGTAGAGACATCCTCCACGTGCGGTGTAGGGGGGCCAACACGCTATTGCGATGTTGTCGAACAAACATCTGGCATAAGCGGACTGGGTCAGTGTCATGTTTGCGATGATAGTACGCCAAGAAAAAGATTTCCCCCGAGTCATTTAACAGATCTCAACAATCCCAACAATGTTACCTGCTGGCGATCAGAGCCTTTGGTATCCTCTCAGAGTTTCAATGCACCACCAGACAATGTTACATTGACACTGTCTCTGGGTAAAAAGTATGAACTGACATACGTCAGTCTTCAATTTTGCCCGAAAGCCGCCAAACCCGACTCAATAGCAATCTATAAATCGATGGATTACGGCAAAACCTGGCAGCCATTTCAATTCTACTCTTCACAATGCAGGCGGGTCTATGGGCGAGCAAATCGTGCGACAATAACCAAGGCCAACGAGCAAGAAGCAAGATGCACAGATAGTCACAGATTCAGTGGTGGAGGAGAGGGCCCAGGTCCTATCGGACGAATAGCCTTCAGTACGCTCGAGGGAAGGCCATCGGCAGCTGATTTCGACAACTCGCCGGTTCTTCAGGATTGGGTAACAGCAACTGACATCAGGGTTGTTTTTAACCGTCTCCACATGCCTCAACCAGACATCTCCAATGAGAATCTTGGAATTGAGGAATTAACCAAGAGAGAGAGAGAGCGTGAGGAGAAAATGAAGAACAAGATTAATCTTCTGCATTTGGATCCCCTAGTGACGGTACTTCCGTCTGTGCATCAGGTACTTGCCCCTCAGGAAATGGTCAGCAACGATGCTCTCGACGTACAAGAGAGAAATTTTCATCCCGAAGTCACACCTACCACTCTCATAACAGCCAACAGTCCAACCACTATGGCTCATCATTATGCTGTCTCTGATTTTGCTGTTGGTGGTAGATGCAAGTGTAATGGACATGCATCTAAATGCTCTCAGGGCAAGGACGGAGAGTTGGCCTGTGAGTGTAAGCACAATACCGCTGGCCGAGATTGCGAGAGATGTAAACCCTTCCATTTTGATAGGCCCTGGGCTAGAGCCACCGCCAGAGACGCTAATGAGTGCAAAGGTAAGTGGAAAAACTATTATCACTTTATTCATTATCTAGCATTAATTGAATTTTAATAATAATTTTAAAAATCCCCCAACACCACAAATCATACCATGTCAAGGAGAAAATACCATATAGTAAATGGCTGACGTTGGTCTGACGACCAGTAGGGACTAATTAATTTGTCACCATACATATTTTCCCCACATCCGATAACGCGATAAACAGGTCAAGATCGCCATTCAACAAAGACTCCTCCGGCCCAGCAATTATTAATTCATTGTTTTTTCCCCTCTGTCAGCTACTGATGGTAATCAATTAACTTTGCATCTTTCTATATCAGCGCAAAGATAGTAGACGCGTGAACGAGAAAAAAAAAAGATGGAGATAAAAGGTGTTGAGAAATATTGTATAGTGGAAAAGCATTGATTCGTATATGGTGACATAGAAAACACGTCATATGGTTTTATTTGTGTGGCAATCCTAGTGTTGTAGTGGTTTACTCACGATCGAGTCCTCCCCCTCTCTGTTTCCTCTCCGGTTTCCATACCCTTCTGCCCCATTCACCCCTCCTTAATTCGACGCGGCGAACCGTGAGTATGTTCTGTATACTGAAAGCTAAGGTATCCTTCGGGCTGGCTCTCTACCACCGGCGCATCTACACACCAAATCAAAAGCTTCTGAGGGTGCAAAACCACCCTCTCAAATCATTTCGAATCAATAAACAGTGAGTTTGTATATAAATTCGTGAAAAAATAAAGCTCCAAAGAAAAGCGATATTTGGAGGACATCATTATTACAACAGATAAAACGTATAATTGCATACACGATAGAAAAAAGTTTTTCAACAAAACTGATCCGTACCCATACGCACGCGTTTCCCATGCACTACATATAACTGGCACTTTTGAATAGAGGACTCCCTCAAATGGATGTAGACCAATTCGATGTGGAAAAGTGGTCATCTTTTCAAAGCATCAATTTTTAGGCCGTGACTATTCGCACCATTGCGTGAATCACGTAAGAATTGCGTTTTTCCACTTCCTACACCCTATACAAGACGAACTAAATTAATTTTTTTTTGCATTTTCGTTTTTCGCGATTATCTCGAAAACTATGAGAGATAGAGCCTTAAAACC